GATTATATTTTAATAACCTAAGTTGTTATTTCCATAAAGGGAGGAGAGAGGAAAGAGAACCAATTTTTTTTTTTAAATTATAGAACATGTCCAAGATTGTAATTTTAAAAAAATATTATTTAGAACGATACTATTAACTTCTGAAAAGGAAAAATTATAATATTATATTTTATAATGTTCTGTCAATGTGAGGATATTATAAATATTGTCGCAACTAAAAATATTGCTCTAAATAAAATTTTAGTTTTATTATTTAAACTATTTTATCTACCTATGTAGTATACAGGGTGTTCAGTAAGTTAGGAAACGGGTTTCTATTGTTCTCATTGTCACAAACAATGAGAACAATAGAAACCCGTTTCCTGACTTACTGAACACCCTGTATATTAGAGTTTTTAATGTTTTCAGGTTTCATCAGAAACTAAAGGTAAATACGCAGTCCTTAAAAGTTAGGCATTTCTGATTTACAATAATTAATGCCTAAGTACCGCCCTAATCTCAATTAATATTTTCCCGGTAAATTTCTTTTTGCCTAACTGCCCTTGGTTCTCTGTAAGGCATAGTTAATCAATCATCTTGTATTGCAATATAATGTTAATAAAAAATAAACTGTGATATTTTATTAACCATTAGAATTACCTACAGTTGGAAATTACTTGAATAAATAATTTAATCTGTGTGATTCAAATTTGTTCTATATGAAAATAAATTATATATATTCCATTAAAAGTATAAATTTATTTTTAAAATTAACAGTATGCATTGTATTTAGTAAAAATATTTAAACGACTAAATTATAAAATAACCGTATGCACTGACATACTTATGGTAGAAGGGATATAGGTGTCACATTCTTTCCAAAAAATTAGTAGTATGGTAAATATACAATTTGTGTACATTTGGAAGGGAAGTGAAAAATTGTTTATGTATATTGCCCCTTAAAAAAAAAATCAAATTACGCCACTGATTTTATGTAATAAGTTAAAAGAAATGTTGAATAAAATGATTCACATAAATATTGTCAGTATATAGTAAGCTTTTATTTTTTATGGTAAATAAATTATATTTTTATTTTTTATAAAAATGACTTATAATTTAAAATTTATTTTAAAACATAAATGTTTTTTAATGATACTCTAATTGATTTTATTGGATTAAAATATGCAGATATCAATTTATTTGCCATTAAAATAATTATAAGTTTGAAAAACTCAAATAGTTTTTGATCAACTATAAAAATAAAATCTTATAAAATTCGTTTAATCAAAATTGAGTTAAAATATAAAAAAACCTATTTCTAAGCATGTTCTTTTTAAAACAATTACAAATAATATGAGTAAAATATAAAACGAGTAAAAAAAGTATATAACATTCTTATTTAAAAAATAATTAGAGATAAAATAATTTAACTTTTTGAAAAATAATACTTTAGCATATTACAAAAACATATAAAAAAAAAAATTAAATGATGTATAATTACCTTATTAATGATCACTGATTAAAAGTAAGTGCAGAAAAATGGCATCAAATGACTAATAAATCTACTTAAATACTTAATTTTATCATTACTAAAATAAATTGATGATATCATTATTTAAAACAATAAAATATGAATAATATATACATATAAATAATAATTTAGTTCTGTTTGTTCAATTTAAATAGATGAGTTTTTTGTTTTACAAAATTTTTTTACAAAATAAAATACATGTAATCATTTTAAAATACAGTTTAATATTTATTTTAACAGTGATTATTTGAAAACTAAATTTTACATAATTTAATAATATTTTCATATTTTTCAGGAATTAGTTTTCTATAAAGAAAATCATCGATAAAAATACCTACCACATTTAATTCTTCATTTTCTGTACCCCTATGAAATTAAAAATTTGAAAAAACGTTCAATGCAGTGTGATTGTTTTATAATTTACACTTAATTAATCGAAAACAAAAATAAATTTTTGTTGACCTTTTTTTAATAACGTATTTTTCTTAATTATTCTCAGATTATGAAATATTTGGTATGCTCATTTTTTAGAATAACCTGGAGTAATTATCAATAAATAAAAACTAAATATTAATAGTGACAAATGAACATTTTTTTATGAGTTTAGGCGTACTCTTACCATATTGATGGAGTAAAGTCTAATGAATTTTGAATAAATAAATATTTAATTAGATATTTCACATGAAATAACAAAATAATGACAAAGTTTATTGAATTTAGTAATTTTGCAATCAATACCATTTTGTTTTTTTAATGAATGAAAGAAACTTACCAACAAAAAAGTACACAAAAACTAGAGTAAAAATTATTAAACTAACCACTCAAATTGAATAAAATACTATATAATCTCATTTATTTCAAAATAATTCTGAAAAGTATTCTTTTATTAAGAAGTCATTAATTGAAAACCAGTTAGAAAAATACATCATGGACGATCTAGGAAATACTAGTTGAACGTTGTGAAAGAAGATCTTGAGAGTCCACTAGTAAGATAGGAAACAATTGGTTCAAGACCGAGAGAAATAGAGGGATATTATGATGATGGCGAAAACTTTTAGAGAGTATTAAGAGCCAAAAGAAGAAAATGACCATAATTACCTATAGCAATTACTATACGTACAGTATGGCGGGTTCTTGAGGAGACTAAAATCATTTATCTTTCTTTTAGCTCCGTTTATCAATAAAAAATGTTAACGTATCGATAATAATTTTAGCATAAGTGCTTATCAAGTTACAAAGCCTATTGTTCAGGTGATTTCGGATAGAATGTCTCGTGAAAATACATTCGCAAAGATTAGCGGAAATAATAATTTTAGTGAGACACTGACCTTCTAGAAGCAAAAATTAAATATATGATTTCGAGACTTATCTGTTAAGTGTTATTGTAATTAATTTGAGATTTTTTAATTATTACACTAATTTAAAATTGTACGTATTATCAATGTAGTGGGTCAAACATAATATGTTTAGATATTATTTAATAACATAAAAATTAACAAAGGCGCTATATTACACAGCAAAACAAAATAACAATAAACATAATGATTTCATATGTTTTTAGTGAATTAATTAAATTTTACAAAATTTATATGACCGGACTTAGCGTTAAAACAACAATTTAACAAAAATTATGCTGTTTGATGGTCATTAATAGTAATACATCTTTGACTGGGTGATTTTGAGCGATTATTTACAGGCGGAAGCGGTTCTTGTGAATAAGAATTCATATTGGTGAAATATAAACGTACAAATATTAATCTATTATGTATTCGGTTAATGCTTGAAAATTTACTATCCTTTTTTTGTCATAACCCAACGGCGCCTGGAGATACGATGAAGTATGTTCGGCCCTCGTAATTGTCTGATAATTTACATATAAATCCTCTAACATGACTCTCTGTTTTTCTTATTATTATGATTAACCTAATAAGTGAACATTATACGATATTCTGGCTATTACACTCAACACAAATGTTGTTACTAAAAACGCTATGAGTCCAGGACGCTCGTTTGACAAACGTTAACGAACCATCAGTTATTGGTATAACGGCTAGACTGACAGAAACGATTAATATAATACATGCAATTAGAATTGTGTACGATCCAAAAAGTAACTGAAACACTAATGACGAGCCAGAATACTAGGAGTTCGTGTTCGCCGACTCCGAATTAAATATAACACAACAGAATAAAAAAAAAATACTTTTAACCTCTTTGATATGGTAATGTATTCGTATTTGATGGTCATATCAATATATATTACAAAGGTCATAAATGAAATATAAAATTATTTATTCACTAAAATATAAAGTTTGCTGTTCCACTTATGCATATTTTTCACTTAAATACAAAAGTAGTATTCGAATAAAGGTAGTTGTGCTTGATATAAAATAAGCACTTTTAACTATCTAATTATTCTGATAGTTAAGTACACTCCACGTTCGATGTGTATTTAAAATAGTGATGGGGAATATCGAATAGTAACTATTCGAACTATTCGATAGTCGTTCAAAAAATATTCGATAGTTACACAATATATTCGAATAGTTTATGCTAAAAATAAACTATTCGGTTGTATAAAACCAATTCGAATAGTTATTCGATAGTTTTAAAATATTCGAAAATGCCCATCACTAATTTAAAGTACATTTTTCTTTATCAAAGTATTCTTTTAAAGAAAACATGATTGCAATTTCATGTAATAACTCTAACGGATTTTCATCAAAAATCCACTGATATTTAACCATTACCATCTTAAGAGTTTTATTGAAGCAAAATTACTCAGTTAAACAAACCAATTTAATATTTTTTCATGAGATTGTAAAAACTTCAAGGAAATTTTCGGAAAGGAGAACACCTGACGCACTGCAGCACATTGCATTTGCTATGTAAAACGAAAAGCATTAACTGGAAATTTTTCTTTCATCGGTTAAACGGTACGCGGTACGCAATTCTCACTAATCTCTCAAACGAAATTAGTGAAGTATATTTTGAAAATCGAAACTCAAGTCGCGTTTTAACTTTCAACAAACTTATGTAATAGTCTCGAAAGTCGGTTACAACAGTAAATATTAACTGAAACATCAATAAAAATGATAATAATAATATTTTTCTTCAGTTGAATTTGATTAAAATTAATTTCTTCGGGAAACAGAAAATGGAATAATTGTAATTTCGAACAACGTTGCTGTTTTATGTGCATGAATTATGCATGATTTGATTGTATATTGTAGCGGGTAGGGGAGAACTTGGATAAAAGCGTCGCTGGGACTCTTGTTGGTGGTCTGAGAAAAAAAATATTAAAACACTTTTCAGGTTTTCCGTATATATTGTGTTGATTTTGTACAATTATATACATAAAAGTTACAACAATGGCATGTATAACACATTTCTCTACAAAAAGAACATTCCGCCTTGTCGTTTTTTGTAAATGCTAATAATCTACAGGAAGGGGAAAGAGAGCTTTTCTCGGTATGTTCGACTGTACCACTTGCAGTCGATCAATACGTACTTGGCTTGTAATAAAAATAATTACTATAACGGATGCGATGATGTTGTTATGGAGAAAAACGATGGACTGTGTTATTAGCCGCAGCAATTGAGGATTGATGCCAAATGTGACGGTGGGGATGTGGGCTTTGGTTGATCTATACGCTTTACTCTTGTGGCTGGTAGTAACGTATGGAAAGCCATTTCAAATGGATATCTTCGGACTTGCCGTGTTTAATGTTTCACGTGTACGGGTTTTTTTCTTTATGTGTTCTCTAAGACCATTGGAGCCGACAAGTCATCTAATTTGATGTGAGGTCTTTGCCGTTGTGATTTTCTATATTTGTTTTTGTATTTTTTTTTTTTAACGTAATACTAATATTTTGACTTGCAAATTTATTGACAATCTTTTATTTTTTACCTTTTTTAACTATACCAGTAATTCGTTTAAATTTATTTACTAATTATTCATTATTTTTACACGCATAATAATCAAATGCTATTTAATGAAAATTTTTATTGTGATAACTTGTGTTGTGTTGATTTATGTAGTTTTTTTATTTGCATAATACTCGCGTTTTATTCAGTTTGTGTATAATATTAAAGTATATTTCAGTTTTTTCAAACAAGTCATTACAATGATTTGCGATTAGTTTTCTGCTCTGTAAGTACACAAAGTTGAATACGAAAATGGAAATGCATCATCAGTTTAAACGACAATTGATAATATTTTTTTAACTTCATTACTGTAATAAAATATGTTACCTTGGTTTCTAATTTAAAAATACATTTTTTTGATTAATAAAAAAATCAAAGACTAGACGTACATTTTAACTCCAAAACTTTCAGAGAATTACTTCTATTTTAATAATTGAATAATATAAACAATCGTAAGAAATCCTTAAGTAGTAATTAATTTTTATAAGTTTAATAATTGTGAATTCGATAAGACTATTCCTAATTCTTGAAACAGTAACACATACGTATGTATGTACAAACACGAAATTTAGCAAGATAATATATAATAATACAGCTTAATAATATGTTACATTTTATTTTGTGACTTGGATTTGATTTAAAATGAAAAATCTCTTATATTCTACCAGTTGGTGTATGTCTTTTGGCATGTAAGATGACAGCCGACAGTTTGACTTTTGAATTTTAGGTTAAAAAAAAATAATTGTTCCAGTTGAAACGATCCAGTCAAATATTGATATATGTCCATAAAAAAATTACTTAAGTATAGAATGAATATGAATTAAATTTAAAAAAAGTTAATATGTATTTTATTAATAGAATTAATATACTACCGTGTAATATAATCTAGTAAAAAAAATCATCATAAAAATTAGTTTAATATAATCATAATCATTCTTAATATTATACATTCTACCGAAAATGGGTGTAGCTTTAATTTTATAAGTAAATTTAATAATACTGTTTTTAATTATTTTAACTAAGTTTCATTTCAAAGTTGTCCCATCATATCAAAATTAACCAATTATTCATCTAATACACATAAGAAATCACTAAGTAAAGACGATCACGAGCGATCTAAATAGCTTTTAGACTTTTATTAGTTTTTCCTAATTAAATTATATTTTAAAGCAACACTAGCTTTTTTAATTTTGTTATTTATTGATGAATTTCGTGAGCTATTAATTATTCGTTTAGCATTAATCAAAATTGTAAACAATTTTAAATTCCATTTCAAAAATTGTCTATTATTGATTTAAAAATTCTTATACGTATAAGACAGTCAGAAATAGTCTTTGAAACATAATTAAAATGTTTATTTGAATTATAAATGTTATATGAATTATTTAAGACACTAAATTTTATATAAATATTCTTATTATTTTTCAACCTTTTAATAAAGTGGAAAATTAATTTAAAAATCAATGAAAACTACTAGTTATTGATTCATTTAATAAAGGAAATATTCTTCGTTATAAATGATTTCTTCGAAGTTCTAGTAAAATTAATTAATTTTTATTAGATTTGGTTAATGTGTTTGAAATCAATAAAGAACTGAAACTAGATGATTTTCTCGGAAAAGGTAAAAAGACTCATTTCTAGATGAATAGCCAATAACTATTATTATTTGTGATATTTGCGTACACCGAAATCGGAATTAAAATCAAACTTTACAGTCGACATAAAACAAGAGGAAATGAAGTCAAAAAAACTTTTCCATTAGCCGTTCTACACGAAATACTTCTCAATCATATACAAATAATATTTTGGCATTGGAAACTGAGTGAAGAGACGCACATAATTTATGTTACGACTCAAATAAATTAAATTGCGTTTTAGGAGAGCGTGAAACGTGTTCAAATATCTGGTCTCTATTATTAATTATTGGAATGATAATTCCTGCACATACGGTAAAGCACATTCATCGGATGGCCAAAAGTACCAAAATTATGACATATTGACGTGACAATATTTTTTAACGAATGTTGTGAATTCTTATAATAATCTGAGTTTCTCTTATACCTACACGCGTATTTCATAAACATCAACGTTGTTGACACGAAACAGCCAACACAACTATAAATGTTTGACCGATGAATGATTCTGTCAATAGAATAAGCACCAAGTGTTAAAAACAGTACTCTAATTTAATTTTTAGATAAACACTGTAGGCGATAAAATAGTTTGTTCGAATTCCAGACCGTTATATGTAATACAAACCAAAAACAAGATACTGAAATATTGGCAATGGCGCATTTTTTTTATTTTGGTTTTTTTACGGATGATTGTCATTGAGATTCAAATTTTGTACATATAAACAAATATAATTTATTGTTGAAATGTTAAAAATAACAACATGATAAAACTAATCGTTTTTGTTACAAAATAATTTCTGTCTATTTCATATATTATATTCAGAATATGTATATATAATATATACAATATGTACAATGTACATATATTATATATCTATATAAATATTAATAATATCTCAAAGTCAGTTGTATATCTAGTCAAAAATGTTGAATGTCTATGGATTATGTTTCATTTATTGTTCAAAAACTAAAAATAATAACCCAATAATACTTCAGTGTATCATACTCAATTGGGATGCTCTATAATATAATTATAATTATAATATAATATAATTTTCTTAAGAATAATATTTAATTAACTAAAAATTTACAAAATGCATAATGATAAAAAATGTAATTATGTTTTATATGAAAAACTAAAAAAAATGTTTTTAATCATAAAGAATTAATCTCGTCCTAAAATTGTATGTAGCCTTCGCTAAATATTGAAAATTTTTAGCACTAAACGTTTTTTTTTTTAATTACTAATTTTTAGTAGGAACTTTTTTAATTAAAAAAATACTAAAACAGTCTAATATGATCAATGGAGCTAAACTTTTATCGAAAATAATACTTTTTTTCTTCAAATCTAATAAAGCTAACATTATTAATGGATTAATTTTTTTATCATCGGTCTTTTCATTGCTTATTAAATATTGCAGTCGACATATATCTGAATATCCCCTAAATTCTCCTTTTGATTAAGCACAATAAAATTTCTTGCTTAATTATAATAATAATGATACTAATGTTAATTAACATTGATTGCGTTAACGTAATTTTAGGAAAAATGTATAAAAATTTAGATAGTTTAACAGCTGATTTTATTATTCTAGTTTAATCTTTTCAAATAATTTTAATCTGTAAAAAGTAATTATAGAACTATAATATATTTTAGGGTATTTGATGTCCAATAAATATAATAGTAAATATTAACATCGCTATTCAATCAAATGAACGACAAAAATACGATTAACACTAAGATAAGGTAAGTCTGATTGTAAAAATCACAAATTTTGAACAGTATAATAATAATATAATTGCATAATATAATACAAAAGAAAAAGTATAATATATATATATATATATATATAGAATTCCAAACTTACTGCAAAACTACTAGATTTATTTAAATAATCAATATACTGCATAACAAATAAATTTGGTTTAAACATATTAAAATGGTGTGAAACTAATTAAAAATAAAAAAAAATTTGCAAAAATACAATAAAATTAGTGAGATTTAAACTTTGTTTAATGAGTTGTTAACATCGTACTATTACTCTATTGACGGGGTAAGAGTCCAGTTAGTAATGAGTAAGTTTTAATTAAAAAAATTTGTAGTTCAATATCATATTATTTAATTATAATTATGGAAATAGAGTTAGCCACATGGAAATAAAATTGTTTTTTTTTTGAAAAATGATACTTTTATTAAATAGGACAAATATAAAAAAATATATATAAAAATAGAATAAAAATTATTAGATCAAATATGCAAATTTAATAAAATAATGTATAACCCCGTCTATTTCAAAAAGTATAAAATATAATATTTTAATGTTACATTGGACTTTTAGAGTAATTTAAAAAATTTTCTTTAATTTACATGAAAAATTTGTGTACGAAAATAAATTTATGCTATTACTGAATATTTATTAATAAAAACATTTTAAATCCAACTCAAAAAAACATAAGTACATAAAATAATTTTATAAACTTTAAATAGTATTCTTAAAGATTGAAAAATAACATAAAATAAAATTTAATAATAATACATAAATATGAACAAATTATAGGATTATTGATTCTGTCTAGTTCCCCAATAAAAATGATAATTTACATTTTATTATATATATTATATTGATTCAGATAGCGTAACATCTCTTTAATATCTAATAATAAATTTAAAATACTGAAAATTCGTAAATATATCTTTTATTCATTATCTACTCACAATAGATATAACAAATATCTCTTACATAGAATTCGTATTTAAAGAAAAACATTTGACTTTTTACATACCATGAGTTTTTTTTAAGTGTTGATTCAGTTGAAAATTTTGCTTGAATTCAACTGAACATAACCTAAAACTGATCATTGCCTACGTATGTCCGTATGGTTTAACATGTTTGACACAACCGACATTGAATAAAAAACTTTTATTGCATTTTTCACATTATAGCATTATTTTAGAATTAAAATTGGGTTCGCAGAGTTAGTGTTTGAAATACAAACTAAAGATAAGATGCTTATATAGTATTTTTCTGTATGTTAATTTAATATCCTAGGTCTATTTTGTTTTGTTCTTTCTTTTTTAGTATTTTGAGTACGTTTAACTTATTAGTTTAACGATATGTTTAATTGTGTTTAATAACAATATTTTTTTTTGTATAGTCTTAGTTTCTTTTGTATAGTTTTGTTTAAATCGTTTAGCTATAATAATACTTCTGTATAAAAAACACAAAATTTTAAAGAAGTTTAGATGAAAATTTAATACACTGTACGGATAATACTGAAGAAGCATTTTATCGCCTTGTACACGTGTTTTAATTGTATTTTATCATAGTGGGAATAGATTATCTTATATATTTTTACTAACATAATCAATCCCATAAAAATATCACTGTTTTCGATATTCATCATTTATTTCGTATATGACTGACTATACATTAATAACTAAACTAAATAAATTGTAATAGAATATCAACTAGTACCTCTAATGATATAACTTTTACTCAAGTAACATTCTGCAATGAAGTCGTTTATGGGAATCTTACATTTCCTCTCATATTTTTTTAAGATATACTATAATAAATATCTATTTAATAATGCTTAAATTAATGTTAAATGATAATTATTAGGGTTCGACAACGATATATTTTTAGATATCGATATCGTATTTCAGCAAATTATATTGCAATATAGAAAAAAAAATTATATTCGAAAATTAAATTTAATATTTAAATGTTTTAACCATTTTTTTTTATTTTCAAGAAAACTATTAAGTTACCATTGTTGTAAAAATAAAACTATGGTACTAACCAAATCAAATAATGGTATAAATAAAAGAAAATATAGTTAATAGCTACATCTCATATCGATAATCAAATATTTTCAAATTATTTATTATTATAAAGAAATGAGTTTTTTTTTTTTGTTACAAGACTTTATCATTACAAATTGGTTAGATTAAATGGATGAAATTGTGTTTTTTGAATAATACTACTATAGTTCCAGTGCTTTGGTTTTAAATAAAAAATATTATAAATGATATTCGTATTTTTTTTTATTGCTTTAAGTCATGATTAAATACAATTTTTCTTCTTTTCAAAAATAAAATTTTAACTTTTACAAAACAAAACATTATCATCTTGTCACTATCATCTAATAGGGACTTTTTTTCGGGCTCAATTTCATTTTACTTTTCAGATTGAGTTTCAACCAGTTGTTGATGATGTCTATATTCTAATTCTGAAATTTCTTTCTCTAATTCTCATCATATCCTACTTTGTTCGTGTTTTGTTAAAAATAAGAATAACTACAATATCATATTAAAATCCTATATTTAAGATACATTTTTTGATATCTTTAGCAGCATATAATTTTTTTAAATGAATACTGCATAGAATTATGTTTCCTTAAAATGAATCGAAAGGTAATACAGAAAACATGTATTAAAAATACGATGTATACATACGTCATTATAATAATAATATATTATTTTCAATTTTATTTCAAAAAACTACATATATCATATACTTCAATATGTAAATTTATTCAATTACAAAAATACAAAATATATAGCTTAAAAAACAATGTTCATTTTATTGATAAAGAAGTTTGCAACATTTAACTAAATAAAACTTAAAAAGTTACATCGTACACGTAAATATTATTTCAAGATACATATCTACCTTATTGATTAAGATTTTATAACTAGAAAAATATATTAACAGTTTGAAACCCCAAAAATACACTTGCAGAGCAAAAAATCAATTTAGAAATAATAATTCAATTATCAAACGCTAAACATTAAATAAAATAATTGTACATTCAAAGTAGTTTTTTCTATTATAGTCTATAATTTCATTAAACTTAAAATAAAATTTGCCATTTATGAAATATGATAATAGGATTTTTTCCCTGGAGATCAAAAAAAATATTAAATTTAATAATAATATTATAAATTATGGACTGAAAGGAAGAAAAATACAAACGTATTTTTATATTATTTCTTAATATTTACTATATAATTTAAATTAAAATATAATATCAATAATCATTTAGTTAAAGAAAATTTTATCAACAATAATATCTTTTTTTTCCAATTCAACTAATACTGAAAGTATTAATCTATTAATTTGTTTGAAGTCAGTTTTTTTATTATTTATTAAATTTTGCAGTCGACAAATATCCGAGAATCTCTTTCGTTCTTCTTTGGTTGATGCACAATAACATTTTTTGCTTACTGGTTGAACAGGAATTGAAAGTCCGTTGCTACTTTGAGGACTTTGATACAGTTTCAATGAAGGACAATGTTTCCTTTTATCTATCCAATAATTTTTTTGAATGGGACTTTCGCCTTGTACACTGACGTATAACTCGTATTGACAAGAATTGGGAGAAGGCTGTAAAATATATTTATTATAATTTACGGTCTCATGTGTAGATATTTTCTTATTTTCATCAACTGATTCAACATGTTCCAATATTTCATTCTTGTCGATAATATATGTATCAGTTTTAGAATAACTAGGAACCTCGCAATTATCATTACTAATAACATTTGGATAATACTCAATGGATGGAATTTCAGTATCAACTAAAAAAAAATATGTCGATTTTTATCATAATCACCGTTAAAAATAAATAAGTTTAAGATTATTATTTTTTAAAAAAAATTAGTTATAATATAGATTAATAATAACCTACATAACTATAACGGACATTGTTTATTTGTCTAAGGAGAACACCTACCCCCTCCCTTATTGCAATTATTGACATTTAGATTACAAAACGGACAGATTCGTTGTAGCTAATTTTCCATAAATTAGAATGAGACATTTTAATACTTTTACATTTCAATTATAACATTTAAAGGACATTACAATTTCTTTTGTAAAATGCCTTACCATTTAATTTTTTAAATAAATATTGTCGAAACGTTAGGGTTATTTTTAATGGTCATATTATGGTTGTTATGTTAAATATTAAGACATATACATTGTAAAATATACTATTGAATATAATTTTGAAAAAGACATTTAATACTTGGGTGATTGTACGGATTTACTCAGGTAAAATTAAAACTTAAATTTAATGACCTAAGTTACAAATGTTTCTTCAAAATAATGGATACTAACGTTAAAAAACAATTATAGATCTAAATAATCAAAATTTTACGAATGATTAAACCTATTAATATTTTGTTTAACACTCGTGACACTAATTAGATATAACTATTATTTTCCCCGGCAACACCTAACACCATTCAGCTATTTTTAATATTACTCATTTACTTAAAAACAAGTTAATTCCTACAACAGAATATTTAATGACTAATGTGTTTAAGTAAACAAAATGTAATTTACTTGAAGTAATATGATATTTTTTATTTTGTTTGATTATCCCTTATAAGACGTACCATTTAACTGAATTATAGAAATAGAAACGATATCGTTTCAAAATATAAATAGTTTTGCTTATTAATTACCGTTAAATTAGCCAACATGGGGCGGTGTGTTAAACATAAGGCAGTTAAATGTCTTACAGATTTCATTACTTAATATTTGTGAACAAATATTTAATGTTTTATGACAATACTCGTAAACATTTTACTGATGCTGTAGTTTGATACGACTAAAATGATAAAGGATATTAATCTACCCCAAAATGTAACATTCTGCAATGAAGTCGTTTATGGGAATCTTACATTTTCTCTCATATTTTTTTAAGATATATTATAATAAATATCTACTTACTTGTCAAACTATATATAGATATCATAAATACATTGATGAATTAAATATAAAAATATTGACTATATTCAATTATAAAAATTGTACTGGCAAAGAGCAAAGGAGACATATTTCGAAAAAAAATGCTATACAAATTTTTAAATCAATAATGTTAAAATCTCTATTGCCAAATGAGTATGCGATTTTTTAAGTAAATAAAATGTTGGTTCAGAATAAAGTTAAATTATAAAATTACAGTATATTTTTCTATTTTATCCAATGAAATAAAAACACGAAATTAAGAAACTACAACTGTGCACTATTAATTATTAACAATAATTTATTATTCAGTAATAAATTAACAAAACAGTGTATAAAGTAGAATATTTTTTTATAAATTTTTTTAAATATGACACACTTATTAATAAATAAAAGTAATTGCTAATTTTTACTCACTATGTTCTTCTTTCAAGTGTTGGTTCAGTAAAGAACTTAATACAAAACTAGTAAGACATATTTTGCATCTATAAGATGCTCCCGTATGTTTAAATGACTTTGTATGATTGACATAACCGGCTTTATTTTTAAAACTTTTATTGCATTTTTCACAATATATCATTATTTATAATTTATAGTGTCGTTTCGAATCCACTTTATTAGCTAAATTTATGTATTTTTAAAAGATAAACCAAATTATCAACTAAAAGACACCTTCACTGGTATACACTGGACGAATAAAACTGAATGAATGTTTTATTGTCCTTAATCATATGATTTTGATTGAGTGCATACTGGAGGGGATCGCTTACCTGTGACACTTCTTAAACCAATCCAATGATAGAATTTTCAGTATTAGTTTATTTATTCCATCATTCGTTTTTTTCATTTACTGGTCTTAGTTTTCAAATTGCAATTTATAAAAGTAAATAAAATTTTTAACACATATTATACATACTAATAATTACATAAGGAAATCATGGACACAAAGTATCAATTTAACTGAATTTCGAGAATTAAAATCACTGAACTTTCAATGCGCTCATAAACTTCTTTATAGCAGTTTAGGATATTTTTAAAAGTTTTTATATCTTAACAATCTAATTTGAAAATATGTAAATGAGTAGAAGATAGTAGATTTTTATTCCCTTTACCTTTTTGTGCAAAACTAGTTTGGTTTTATTCACGTATACACCGATTATTTGTCTCATGAGAAATGACCGTCATCTTTTTGTGCTACATTAAGTTCTTTATCAATAATCAAAAAAAGCTAATTTTTACCTTTAATCTCCTACTGTTTAATTGTTTTATCTGAGATGATAGGCCATACCGATCCTAAATTTGTACACTTCATTACTTTAATGATTAATTTTCTTTAATTCGATGGTTTCCGAGTAAAGGGGTTCATTTTTTTTTCGAATATGGGAAAAGTTAAATTTAATGTTTATTTAATTTTAAGTTTACTTTAGAAATAATATATATATTAAGTTAAATTCATTAGCAGTTTAGTACTTATATTTAATGTTACGGTTTCAGTTGACAAAGTCAATTATCTTTAATCCATATTTTATGTTTTGAGAATTGCGATTATAATGTTAACACTTTATCCGGAAGCTATTGAATTAAGAAAGAATAGGCTATATTAGAACTAACAAAGTATGATATTTCTTTATATTCTTCTCAACCTCAGTCAAGTATATTAACAACTCGTTAAAGTCTGCTTTTTTTATTCGCCATTAGCCACATGTTGTTTTATGACAAATTTGTTAATTGGTGTAGTTTCGCCAAATTTTAATAAACTTTTTTTCTTTTAACTTCTTTAGTTAAACCTAAATTATCATTGTAGGTATTGCAATACTATAAATTTTTTATGATGGTTTTTTTTTTACTACACTGCTGTTATTTGAGTCTCCTCAAACTTGAAATCGAAAAACCATTGCCCATAACCTGAGAATACACGATCAAGAAGTTCGTGCATATAATATATAGCAGCAATACAACAAAAGAATATTCCCTGAAAAATATTCTCCTGTAAATTATTACCGAGGAATATATTGTTAAAAAATATATAAAACTAAATTTGAAAATGTATGAGATTAACTAGTTAATCAAAATCCAAATTAAAATGTTAAATTAATTTAAGTAAGAACTAATGTTTAGTTAAAGAATATACAACTTGAAAATTACTTAAACTATTCAATTACACTATTACTATACATTACAAAAGTAGAAATAATATCGACATTTTTTTCTTTTTCTTTTAGTTACATGAGTTATTTAATTTATATACTTATTTATGAAGTATTTTTTATGTTCAACAACTTTATTTTTATCAATTAAAACATACGTAATTAATTAGCTTATTTTGACGTTTTATATAATAAAAGACATAGAATGGCTACTAATTAAAAAAATTGCTTATCTACATCAATTTTTGGAATAATATTTCAGGAACTAAAAATAATTACAATTAATGGCTAGATGTCAGGCATAGGTGTTATTATTATTCTCACTTGACATTTTTTGGCTACATTTTTTCCCTCGTCTAAGTATAAAAGTTTAACCCTTTAAATTCAATAAATACATTACATAAAAAATATTTAGTACAATTCGAAAATAATGAAAAGTGACAAAAATATTAACTCTTTCGAAAAGTATACTGCTTTGGTCTATGTTCAATTTTGATAGTTTTAACTAATTTATTTATATTTAAGGACACAAACGGTCGATTAGCGTGAGATTAGATGCAGTTTTCGGTTTGCTGGGCGGTATGGCTCCGCCAGGTACGTCGTCAGTGTTACGGTCTCGACGTCGTGATGCATCCCTCAAGCCCAACCGTTCTTTGGACCGCACCTCTTCTAGGGGTATGTTGTACGAAAACGAAGAACTCCGTTTACGCACAATCAATATCAACGCAGAGGTAGAAAAAGGTGTGTGTGTGTATTTAAAAAATATCATAACTATTACAATTTTATATACGACAATAATTTCTGAAACGCTTTCTATATACCTAAATTTAAGTACCTATAATATATTTTATTTAAAATAATTTAACATTTCAGTAACAGTCAAATTACCTGAAAATTATTACATTACCGGAGAATATAACTATGTATTTTTGCATAGTTATTATTATTTAGTAGAGATGGAAATTATCTGGAATGTCCACACCGAACCGTTCTTTAAATTGACGATTTTATGATATTAAGTGTACTTAAATTGTCAATAATAAATTTGTCTGAATCCATATTTAAAGTCTCGTACCTAATTTCTGGTTAACACTTTTATTGGATTAGGTCTTATAAAATATGATATATACCTTGTTTTTATTTACAGCTTTTATGATATTTTTGAAACAATTAAAGGTATTTGATTCTTTGACGACCACAGTTTATAAAAATAGAGAAAAATATTAAATTTAATATGACACATTCGAAAAGTAACTATGACATAATATGTCAAAAAATTCATATTTTATGGATCAACACATCTGTCATATTATGAGAGATCTTCTCATTATGACATGTTATTTTTCTCCTTGTCACGTTGATTAGAACGTGATTTAGAGCGCGAAAAAGGTTGGAACGTTAGCCAAGTAAATTTAGCTTGTCATATTTAACATTTGCTAATTGTAACAAAGTTAAAATGTATCATACGTGAAAGAAATATGATTATATTTCAGACCATTTTAATGAATTCATACAAAAATACATAAATACATAAAAAAAATATCAATACATTTTGCATCAGACAAGTAATAAAAATATAATTGCAACACTTCAATCACAAGATTGTCAAGTAAATTTAGTTAAACTTTGACCATGAAAATTTCATTAAATGTAAACTTGATAAAAAAAAAATATATGGCTCATTTAAATAAAATTATGCAAAACAAAGAAAGTTGCTATATTTTCGAAACTTAGTTACATTAAAATTAACAGAAATATTTTTTTTTTACTTTTCAACTTAACTGGTTAATTTTTTTTATAATAAACTTTTTATCTTAACTAATTTAATACTCCATTAAAATAATTTAGCTTTTTAGTTAAGCTAAATTCAAAATTTCATAAAAAATATTTGTCTTTATACGTGGTTTGATTTAAAAAAAAAATTCGAATTTTTCCCTATCCCTAATATTATATTTAAATTACAATAAATGTAATTTTGTGAATTTTTTCAAAAATGTATGTAATTTTTAACTGATTTTTATTAATAACTAGTTTTAAATATAAACCAACACCAAAATGTACAAAACGAATAAAAAACATTTTTGTTATCATTAATATTTTCTTCTTATGCAATTAAAAAAAGATTCTTAGGTTTCCCTTATATCACCCACCAATAAAATCGATTTTAAGAGATTTTAGCCAAAAAATTAATTTTAAAGGAAATATTTTTTTTTAAACTAGTTAAGTAAAAAATTTTAACTTAGCTAGTTAAATTTATAATTTGAAAACTTTTAACTGTTAACTTATATACATTGTTCATACTTAATTAGACTTAAATTGAGTTAAATATTTCGACTAACATGCTCATCCGTGGTACAATTAGCGATGTTACTAAAGAAAATTCTCCATAGAACTTTCTCAAAACGAGAATATTCCTTTAATAAAAAATAAATTGTCTTTACAGTAAATATCCATCAAGAGTAAAAACACCTATAAATTAACATTGAAATATAGATGCGTTCTCAAACATTTTCATTTCTATGACTTTTCAATTTTTGCATTTCTGTGGCTTCACAATTTTTTGCATTTCTATGACTTCTCAATTTTTGCATTTCTGCGGCTTCACAATTTTTTGCATTTTTATGACTTCTCAATTTTTGCATTTCTATGACTTCTCAATTTTTACATTTCTATGGCTTCTTAATTTTGAATTTTTATGGCTTCTCATTTTCTTTACAATTCTATGGCTTCACAATTTTTTACATTTCTACGGCTTCTCTAATTTTTTATTTCTATGAATTCTCAGTTTCTTTGCATTTCTATGGCTTCTCTATTTTTTTGCATTTCTATTACTTTTATTCTACGGTAATTTTACTATAATTACAATGTAATTATATATTGAATATTTATGCTAAACTTCTCATTGTGTTTTTAACATTCTTGGTAGTTTGATTCTTTATTAAATAACAACACATACAAAGAGGTATTAAGACATTTTATCCTCTAAGTAAAGATACTAAGTAAAAATGCTCCCGTTACTTTCCCTAAATTTATACACAAAAGTGTAAAAACACTATTTGTCTGTTGTTAAATTGTTATTTTCACGTGTAAATTTAATAATTCTATACTTTTATAATCTATACTTTTGTTAAATAAAAATATTTATTTACAATCAACAACTTTGTTAAAAATAATTGGAAGAATAATCAATAACACAATTATTTTTTCACTCATTTTAAGATTGTTTTTAAATTCTTTGACAATAGAAAAAATGTTTGAAGAGAACTATTGATGCATACTAACAATTTACACCTGTTTTTGTATTATAATTGACAATAAAAATATTTCCAGGCCAGTATTACATAAAAAAACTTCGCCGAGAAAATCAACAACTAAAAAAAGAAATATGGAACTTGCGAGAGGAGTACGAAAAGTTGGAAAATTACGTGAAAAGCAGAGAGCAATCAGAAAACGAAGAGGTAAAGATAAATTATATCACATTAAAGGGCACATAGTACAAATTTAGGAATGTAAGATTACACAGAATGACAAAACGTTTTTAAAGTGAAAGTTATATATATTAAAATTTATGCGGAAAAACTGGTAATCATAACATCTTAGTCCCATATTTTCAGTAGATAATATAATGATGCATATCATACGATTAAATTGATATTAAAAAAAAGTACAATTCTTTAGTTGAATATGTTTGATGCAGAAATTATAATGACTAACATTGAGAATAGTGACACAAATGTTTTCATTTATCTAATTTTTATTATTAACATATACAAAAAGACACTAAATTTTAAGGCAGAAAAGTTTTAATAATTTTACTACAATAGTTTCTGCTAGAGAGTCCTACAAAAAATTAATTTGTGTTGGAGTAGTATAGTTTTTCTATTTTATTTTTCCTGACATTTTTTCAATAAATTTAATTCTCTTGTTAATAGGCAATATACTTAAATTATTACTTATATAATGTATAAATTATTATGAAAATAAATATAAAGAGTGTTCAATAACTTAAGAAACAAATTTCTATTGTTTTTATTATTCGCAAGATTTGTCTTGTTTACTTGCTTTTGAACACTTTACACAATATATGTATATGATAGTTTTATAACTTTTTTTTATGAAATAATCTTAATACTAAAATATATATATCCAAATAATAGTAATATCGTTCACTAATCCTTGTTATAATGTTATTAACTGTATTTCAAAAATAAGATTACTTAGCAAAATAATGTCACCAGAAAAATTTAGATCTTTGTAAGCAAATTGACATTACTTAAGTTTATCGAAGGTAAAAAATAATTATCTGGTGTTTGTGTAAAAGGGAATAATTCCTAATGTGTGAATTAAGAATTTTGGACTTACCATGTAGATAAAAAATGTATCTACGTTTGAACAGAAGTAAAAAATAAAAATAAAGCTCCCATACAAATAGAATTGCTTTAGGTAAAAAATATTTTTAAATAATTATTCAAAATTTAGTTTTATTTTTTCCAAAATTTCTTTTAAAACTAATATCTAATTATCCAAACACCATAGAAATCAGAAGTCGAATTAACAATTTAATAATACTATTAACCTGTAATTAAGTTTAACGATATTTAACATTTAAACGATATTAAATTTTTTTGTTCAACGCTTTTAGTCTTAAAACATTATTCAATATTTTCTTTAAAGTTATTATATTTTTAAAACATACTTCACTGACATAAGTAGTTTTTAATATGGATATATGTCTACTTTTTTCTTACGTTATTTTTAAATATAACATTTGAGAAAAATTATTTTTAATTGACGATATAAGTTGCATAATGTTAAACTATATTTTATATTTATTGATTTTACATATTTTTAGTTTTTTGATTAAGTTCTAAGAAAATTGATTGTTTAAAACGTTATTTGTAACTTTTTCTGTAACAGTGCAAAATTAATTATATATATAACATATTATTTTGAGTACGAAGATAATTATTTTATCGTATGACTTTTTTGTTAAAACTAAAAAAACTGCAATGAACAACAATTTATAGTAGAGCGTGAAATAAATATTTGCTTGTCACTTCAAGTTAAATTTACTGACACTAAGGATGTTTCACAATTCAATTGTGCTCATGTAAAAGAGCTTAAGTACAAAAATTGTGTAAATGAACTTAAATACGTCATAACATTTAAAAATAAATACTCTTTTTTGTATTATAAAGGGCTATGAAATGATTAATTTTGAACTTAAGCCCTTTTATTCGAACACCACAGAATTATTATTAAAACTATCTACTTAAAATTACATATTAATTAACTTTATGCAGACTTTATATCTTTCAGATCCCAATTTATTTGTCTGTTTAAAAATAAATAATAATGTTAAGCCATTAGGAATCACATTCTCGGCTTAATTTTAATTAATATTAAGTATATATAGATACATAATTGTTTATAATTATATTATTATGGCTAATATAAAATTGATGTAGTTAAACATTTCCTAATATAGCAATAAAATATAACTTAAACTTCTAACTTGAGTAGCTTTGGTTGTATTTCTCAACAGAAGCGTTTAATTTGTAATAAAATATAATATATACGTGTCTATAAATTAAAGTAAAAATATATTTGTATTGGCGAAAAACTTATTGGGATGTTTATAATTTGGCAGAAACGACTAACATAAAAAAGATAGCCACTATTAAAAACTACTAAATTTTTTCTCATAGTTACAAATATAGACGAAGAAATATTTGTGTGCATTAAAGTTTATGTCAATCACAATGTAATGTATTCAGTAAATACTTTTTTTACAGTATTACTTACATATATTTGTAAAAATCCAAGACGAACACAAACACGTTAAAAGTTCCAAGTTTAGTTAGTTACAAAAAAAGTACTAGAAAACAGTAAAAAAAATTAAATTACTTGATATTTAAAGTTACTCGACAAAAAACCACTTCAAGATTTTTGTCAAGTATTTTTAAACATTAAATAATTTGATTTTTTTTTTTTATTAAATTAAAATCTCGTTCATTATTTGTATACTATTTAGAATTTAATTGAAATAAATAAAGTTTTAACGAGTTTTTTGAAATGATAAAAAAAAAATTGGAATTGGATATGTCTTGAACATTATAACACTATTTGCTGTATTTGAGAGTTCTTTAGTAATACTAAAAAATGTTAAAATATAGATTTCCTTTTATTTTTTATGGTATATATTTGAAATTAATTTTTCCTTTTCAAACATAAGTTTAATTTTATTAGGACAATAAAAATTTCTGATAGGTGTCCAACTTAAATATATTTTTTTAAGTAAATGGTAAATTAAATGAGTTTTCTATATAAACTTAGTAATTTATAATTTATAACTAAGGATGAGTCGATATCAACCGATGTCCAATAAACTAATATTTTTCTCGATATAAAACAGATTACTTTAAAAGTCACCATTTCAGCTAGATTAAGTAAAATCTAAATTATATTTATTATCTTACAAATGAGTAATATTGTAATAGTTAACAATTACCTATTTAAATAAAAAATGTAACAATTCATAAAAAGGATAAAATATTAAGTGCATAAACAAAAATGTTATTATTTATACTTAATATTTTCTTCCGTTAATAACAGATTCGCAAATATTAATTTAGTAGAGTATTTATTAAAATTCATAAAGGTGACTACCGAGAAGTTATTTTTGAAACAATGACGAATTACATCGCGTTATTTTTTTTAAGCGAGAGAAATATCGGTTAAAAAAAAATATTTTCCGATTAGACAATTACGGCCGATATTCGATATTGGTCTATACCGATGCCCACCCTCACTTATAACTTTCCTTTTTTTAATCTAACCTAACTTCACAAAGTAGAAAAAATTACAAACTAAAAAATTAAAGAATGTATCTAAATTTACGTTTTTTGCTTAAAATAAAATAGAATTATTTTGGTTGCCAATTAAGATTTATTAATGTAACTCAACAGATAATGAGTTACAAATTGCGCAAAGACTTTTATTTTTGTAAAACTTTAACTGTATAAACTTTAAACTACATACAAGCAAAAATCTACATTTTAATAATGTAAAATTATAAACAATGTCATTACATTAAAATAATTAATAATATTAGTGCAAATATAATAAATGTGTATGATATAACAGGAAAAACAACAATTCAGTATACGTTAGATGACAAATTATTGTTTCTAGAAATTGTTACAATTAACTTTGAATATTTTAATGCAAATAATTTCACTGACAATAGTTAATTTTTAAAGCTTTGATAATCTTAAATTAACAATAAGTTCATACGATCAAATTAAACTTCTCACTCCATTCATTATATACGTAAATATATTTTATCATCATAAAGGTGTACTGTTTTTAATTAATTTTTTTATCATCAAAAAAGAGTATCGTTTTTAGTTAATATTAATAATATTCCAATAATGATTCGTAACAACAAATAAACGTATAATACTTATAATAAAAAAACATAATATTTTTTTTTAATAAAATAGGAATATAAAATTATCGAAGTTCAATTGTGTTAGACTAATGATATTGATTTTATTTCGTTTGCATAGAATTTTCCTATGTTATTTAGTTTTTAATCAAAAATTAAATTTAAATAGGATACTTTTATTAAAATAATTGACGTTGTGGAGAAACTAATAACATGCAGGGAGGGTAATTTTTTAACTGATTGAATAACTTTTATATTTAACAGTTATTTTCTGATATTTTTAACTGACGCTTTTAAAGATTTTGATTTTGGTAGCATCATTATATATTGAAAATTGCTGAATAAAACGATAAAATATTGCAAATTGAATAGCGCTATAATACCATTTGAGTACTCTCAGAAGTGGCTTCGCAGACGTTTCAATTAACTTGAAGGTTAAATTTCTAAAGTCATAATACTTGTTTCTACAAAACGAAATTTCAATTTTATTTCAGGAAGATGATAAATTACTGATTGATGAAGAGCATTTAAACGAAGAACTAAATTCGACGTTATCTACAGTAATTGAAGAATGCGATCAACTTGAGCAAGAAAATAATAACTCTACCGACCAATCGAATACTAATTTGAAAAAACTGAATAAGGTAATTATTTAGCCAAAAAAAAAACACCGACACTGAATTAAAACTTGTAGAAAATGAAATAACCTTAATTGTACAAAGTTGAAATACTGGAAAAAATATAAAAGACGATAATTATACACTAAAAACTAGAAAAATTCAAAATATTTTTTAAAAATTAAAATTTATAAGATTCAACTACACACGTCAAATAAAAATATATAAAATAAACCAGTACTCTAGTATTGGTACTCTTCTAAATACTGTCGTATTTAGTATTCGATAAGAGAAAAATGATTTCAAATAAAAATAAGTCAAGTAAAATTGTGCCGTCCAGTTGCAAAAGAACGCTCGTACAAAATATTTGTTTGATAATTTTACTTTTCCTGAACGAATTATGACTAGATAGGCAAAATAAAAATTACAAAAAAACTGTTTGGACATGCGCTCTTTTGTTATAGTAGGTATATGATTAAAGTATTCAAAACTATACTTTCTATTCTTTACATTTAACAATCTCATCAATACTCTAAACAATATATACGGCTAGCGTTATTAAAATCTGTATATTTTACTACATTGAAATTGGCCATAGGTAAGACACCGTCTACTCTGTAGCTGTAAGTGGTAATATAAATGTGTAGGCGTTCACGGATAAGTATTTCAGGCGTGTGCTCAGAGTCTAAGATTAGAACTCTCGTCCTGTACGCGACTTGGTCGATCCCGTGCATTTTATACATGTGTTTATGCTTCTTACGTCGCTGCCACAAACACCGCCCAAAATCGGAGACATTCGTTTGTTTCAGTGTGGTGCGTTTGGACTGTAATTGTTCTCCCGTTTTTTTAGTTTTCATTCAAACAATTCGCACCTAAGCAATTGTTGTCAACAATCTACCAGCTAAAATATACAACAGGGCAAGTCGACGACGAAATCATGTTTGGTAAGCAAAATTGGTTAATTGTGAGTATGTGTGTGTGTGTGTGGACGTCAGTGCGTAGGTCAATAGCACACGATATTAATCGACATTAGTTAAAACAACGCTTCAATGTGCTTAATATTTATATTATGAGTTCAACGTTTTATTAATCATCACACGTGTGTTTAGACTTTAACAAATCAATTGGATGGCTCTTGTTGCAACCAGCGCATTACAGCCGAACAGGAGCAAAACGGGTCAAGTTCAACATGACAATTTTCCAAAATAACGCATTATAAAGAACTTCGATTATTCGTATATTGTATTGAATCGAGTTCAATACGGACAAACTCTTCTTGTTCGAACGCAAAACGTTTATTATACTAAATTGTCATATAAATTACCTCTATTTTCGTGTTGACTTGGCTCGCTGGCTTTTTTTTAAGTGCACCGAAAGTTTATGATTCAGACTATGACCTAAGAGAGCCTTGTCTCCGATACTGTTTCTCTACTGTATCGTCGTAACAGATTTTCCTTTTATACTTCGTATAAAATGCACTTAAGCTTAATTTAATTTTGGGCTAAAAATAAGGTTCTACTGCTATATATACCTTAACCGTTAAGGCCGAACAACTTGATGAATCTATGTCATGCAAGTAATGCTTAAAATATAAATGTATATTATAACTATAAGTTATATAATGTTAAAAAATGAAAAATTTTCTTTATATTTGAGTGATATTCGATTGACTTTTAGTTAAAACGATCAAAAATGACTATGCTAATCAATATTTACAACACTTATAACAATATTATCAACACTTAGCTATGATTGAAAATAATAAGAAAGTGCTCTACAATTAGTTTATACTTATAGATTTTATTCTACAAGTGTATGCATAAATTGTCAAAGTCTCAAATAGGTTATTAAAAATGTATGCAAATACACATATCAAAATATGTGTATAACGAACCTTATAATTAAATTCAACAGTGATACGTGTATTATTACTTGGCGCTTTTGATTTTTTTCCTTTGCACCGATATAGAAAGTCGGTTGAATAGCAAGATAATCCTATTAACTGACTTTTCAAGAGTATTTTCACTATACTTATGGCGTCTAACCGCATGATGTCTAAAAGAGTGGCTTGACATAAGAGGATTTTCTTGAAATATTCATATTATATGATATGTTTTTTTGTCCGAAAACTAGTCTAGCTCCTCGTTTCTGGCGCTGAGATCAATACCGTATGGGATTGAATAAAATGTTTTCTCTTGAAGGAACACCAAGAAAATATTAGTAAAAACTGTAGTGAACACAAAATTACATTATTGTCCGTGTGAGAACTTCGTCAGGTGCGCAAACGTTTAAAAAGTACCGTCTGCAGTCCCTTTGTTGAAACAACAATTTTAAACAAAGTAAAAATACGTCAACACTAAGTAGGGAATTTCTTACGATGAACTTAACCCTAATATTTAATAAGATATGCCAAAGCACGACTATCTTCTACTGGTACGCCGGGAAAGTGTTCTTAATGAAATATATTTGAATAATAAATGAATAATTAATCAGTAATTCTTTGCAACATATGTATGTTACTACTGCGATGATGATAAAGTAAACAATACATAGTATTTACTATTCGAAAATGATATTGTAAAACTTGAACAAAAAAACACAAAATTAATTAAATGATTTGTTAGTTAAAACGTAACATTGGAATGCGCAAAAAAAAATAAATATCTGGTAACAAGACTGATAGTGTCGCTGTAAAAATGCGCCTTTATTGATTATCCGAAAACCTACTTGTTTTTGCGCTTTTCCGTCGTATCACTGGTATTCAATGACCGCTCAGAATAAAATATAAAATACATTTTCTTTTTTCTCGTTTCCAAAAGCTATCGTTAACTGTAGACGGAAAGACTAAGCGGTTTGTCGTTTGTAAGGGTACGTTTAAAATAACACGAGTCTTGACGAAGGGAAAATGAGCATTGGGAGGGTTAATGTTTTCTGAAGGCTACGTCGGTAATGAAAAAAATACAAAGATTTTTTCTCTTCTCTTTATTTACTTATTGAACTCAGTAACGATATTCGTTTTATGCTTTTGCAAGTTTTTCAAATCACTTGCTTTTAAAATGCACTAAATTCGGGTGAGTTGATTAAACTATATTAAAAAATAAGTCCCTTATAAAGCAGCATGTGCAATAAAATCTTATTAAGCTAACATTTCTTATGATCCTAAATTTATTTTTCTATTTGTTTATTATTTATCATTTTGAATTGATTTTAAATAAGCACTGTTTTTTTTACTAAAATAAAAATATTAAATTAAAAATCAAAATCAACTTTTCAATAACATTGTAGAATTCAATTATTCTCAGTTGATATTCGTGTAACTTGATTCACATCAATGTTAGTAATATTAAGTCCGAATTTGTGGTTTTAAATTTACTGAACTAAAAAATTCGTTGTTTTTAAAAACATATTAAAATATGAATACCTGCTCGTATCATCAAAATGAAATATCTCAACAGTAATCTCGTTATGATGAGAATTACAATTTTTTTGCTTGATATTCTTGTACATTTTACAATAAAATATTTTTGTTTTAAGTACGGAACAAAAACATGAAAAAATATTTATTGTATTGTTCGTGTCCTGACTACGACGTTTTCGTAGAACAATTTTCCTTCCTTTACCGCGATTAGTGTCTCGAGCATTCCTATAGACTCGCTTTTCTATTACAACATATTTTATAAGTCCACGCGAGTTACGCGATCACTTCCATTACTCCTTTTTAGAGCGCCTTTGCTAATAAAAACCCTTTACCGAGAAATCGATGAGTGACTTTACTACTGCGATATATTTCATGAACACTAAACACGCACGTCCGAAACACGAAATCTTGAAAATTACCGACGTTTTTCTTCGTCGAGTCACTTTATTAAACCACTTTGTTATAATTTTTTTCCGAGGTACGAGCGAACAAAATTGTTCAGTTTATCTCTTTAGGTATTCCAGGCAAGTTATCAACAAAACTGTTGACAGCGTTATGGAAAAGGTCAAGTAGATGTCTATAATAAAATAAAAGTAACATTAAAAGCACAATGATTCCATAGGATGTATCTGTTATCGTTAATTATTAAATCAATGAAATGTGCTAAAAAAGTTTTTGAAATTAGTAAATAAATATTTTATTTATAATTATAATATTATTGGTAAAGCAAATACTGAAAGCCATAACTAATGTATTAGTTATTATTACATATTATTGCACTGCAATAATATAACCACTATTACTTATTATTATTTGTTGTGTACGGAAACACTTAAAATTGATTTATTTTTATATGAGTACTCATTACTATCCAATAAAATGGAAAATTCAAGTAATTACAATATAAAATCCGATCATCAATTGAAAATCACAATATTTATTGGATATTTTTTATCAGATGTCCAATCAATTGAGCATTTCGCTTTTATTTTTAACTTAATTTTGAAATGTCTAAAATTTAACAAAAAATCTTTTTTACGAAGTTGTGTCACTAATTAATAATTTCTATACTCCAATATTCTAATACGCCATTTTAATGGAAAAGATTCTTATAGTACACCCAGAGAAAAACCTCGATCTATATAATAAATTCAATGTTCAATTTGATAAATTTATCATTACTATTGAATCTATGATACATTTATCAATATGATAATTTTTTTTCTTGTCTTGAACAATAATTATTTATAAGAATAGTTATTTTGTTCGTATTAATAAAACATTATCATAAACCCTTGATAAAATTTCTCTATCAAAATTGATTGAGGTTTTTCTTTGGGTGTACATATAAAAATTAGTGTTATCTTATGTATGCGTTTAAGTTATTATGAAATTAAAGAAAATAGGTATGTGAAGTTTTATTAGAAGACACGAAAGCATTGCTAAATTAATAAATGCCTTTACACGGATAAAAGATATAAAATATAGAGGATATAATTTTGCCAATGAGTTAGGTATCCTCTAAGCTTAAGTAATTTTTAATAAAAAATGTATATGGCAACAGATAATAAAATACCACAAAGTGATAATGGATAATTTTCTTATGACATTTTATGTCGCAATAAATTTCTTGTCCTGTGGGACGTATCCCAAACCTTTCTATTTATTTTACATTATTTTCCAAAACGAATATTATTAAAAAAAAAAAAAACATTGGAACTGATTGATATCAAAGGCCATGCTAAAATATTTCACTAAAATTTAAAAATATCTCAAGAACTTTGACTCTTTTGTCGTTCATCAAATAAAGAGAAAATAAGATGGATTATAGAGATCCCTTTTTTACTATAATTTTTTATATAGCCATATGGATTACTATATTATTTTCTGGAACGTTTATTTTTTAATATTTAATATAAGCGTACTTGAACTTTTTTTCGCCGAATGGATCGCAACATTTACTATCAATATCTCGTAAACGAAAATATTATTTCGACTAATCCCATACTCATCAAGTAAAATTCATACCTTTAGCGTAAAGTTGAATGTAATAAAACTAATTTTGGACAAAGTCATAAACATAATCAAAAGCAAAGCAATTTTTGAAAAAATTTAAGTCAAACTTTCATACAAACTTTTAGTATATTATGCTGCGTGTAATTTGGTATATTACACCGAAATAATAAATCTTCCTTTTGTACTACTAAATATACTTTTATGTAATAAGAGTTGCAGAGATCTCTACCGTGAAGTTACTAAAAATATAAAACATTAATTTTACATTATTAATAATTTTTGTCTTTCACTAATAACTTTACAGGTTTAGCTATAACTATCAAAAATAAATCTTTTTAATTAATTTAATTTAGAAAAATTCAAATACGAATGTGCTGATTCCCATTGATTTGCTTATTTGATATTTCATTTTTGATATATTGAATTTATCATATTACAAAAAGGTATGGTTTCTAATTAACTTACCTAATATAAAATTCCATAAATAAGTTAAAAAATAATGTTTATTATTTATTATTTCGCAAACAAAACATATACGCCACAAGTAGTATGTGTTTTACATGTATTCTTTAAGTCCTATTTATAATAATTTATATCATACCATTTTTATAAACACAATTATGGTTATTTTTTAAAACAAATTTATAAACTTTAGTATAATTTTTTCCTAATATCACATTTTTATTGATTTAGACCAACATTTCGTAAAAAAAAAAAAATTACTTTTGTATTTCTTTATTAATATATTATTTTCAAGTACATACTTTATATGTTCCCATAAAAAACTCATGGGACACTGGTTTAGTAAGCATACTTATATTATGAACCAAATAAACATTTACACAAACACATATTTCTCTTGATCAATCGTTTACTTATCGATTTCTATGAACCAAAAAATAACAATTATTTGTGTAGGGAGCAGAAGACATTATCAACAACAACAGTGGTATTCACNAATTATTTGTGTAGGGAGCAGACGACATTATCAACAACAACAGTGGTATTCACCATGACAACAGTATCATGGTGGTCATCGAAGGGACAGTGGCCGGACCGCAGACTACGTCGGACGTTTGTGGTAAGATTTCAGACGCCGGTACGCTAAATGCGACCAACAATAATAACAACAACAATGAAAGCCGTCACGGGCCACCTTCTCCGCCACCTGCTCCGCTGTTATTGTGCTGTACCACGCCACCGTTTGACACCGATGAAACGCAACAGCGACAGCAGCAACTGTTGGGAGTCCATCCGGACGCTGTGGCCACTCCGGCCGCCACCACCGGAATCGGACCCATCCATGCGGCTTGCTTTGACTTTGGCAACCAAAAGCAACTGCAAAATTTAACGGTACGTTGTTGTCAAATGTTTCGCATTGGTGTGTCTGTCTGCGATTAGCCAACCAATAACATCATTGCTACAGTACCGTTTTTACGAGTCTAATGCACTATTTCTGTGACCTAAATTACATTATTGTAATGAGGGTTGTTTTTCTGTTGCTTTTACGATGCGAAACGTTTTAAATTTTATGTCGTCAATAAAAAAATAATAAAAAAATCCTAGTCGTAAAATATCCGTCTGAGACTCGATACGCTTATCATTTTTATCGGTAAACGGTGTATATGTATAAAAAAAAAAATAGTAATAATAAAAAAAATCATGATATTCGGTCGTTACCGTGGCCTGAGAATCAAAACCGTTTTTTAATGGATATGACAGACGCACAAAATAATCAACAAAATGTTTGAAAACCACGTTGCGCGCGTTTTGTTACTATGATATTAGACAAATTCACTTGCTAAGTTCCTGTGCGAAATAAACCCCATTATAACTACGTGTCAAATAAACAACGTTTCGTGCGCGCTTGAAACTAATTGGATTGCAAAATTATCATTTTTTTTTATGTAAAGGTACATTTAAATACAAAGGCTTTCCATTAAGCTTTTACGGTATTTTTTTTTTTGTTATTTTGTTATCTGTTATTTATTTTGTACAAATTTAATACTGCGGTCGGGCGTATACGTCACGTTTCATTTTTTATAGCCTTAATTAATGAACAATAAAGTTGACAGAGCACAAATTTTACATTGTTCGAGAACATCAACTAGCTATATAATAGATTTTCAATGGAAGCTTTTGGAATATATACTTTAATTGCAAATAAAAATCCGATGGCTCAGCTTAATTCGAAAGATTTTCTGCTAAAATGTACATTTTTTAAAATACTTCTGTCAATTGACTTATTCTTGTAATTTGCGTTTATACATCTATGACTCCCGTGAATATTTAGGCAATCCGCACGATTTAGTATATGACTTTATTATGATTTTGCATAAAAAGTCTAGAGAAACACTCTAAANTTATGATTTTACATAAAAAGTCTAGAGAAACACTCTAAACACCTGAGAATTTTGTTAAAAGTGCCAGATTAACAGCTCAATAAAAACGCAACGCATAGAGTACTTGTAAACATAATTTACTAGATATTTGTAGGCAAATTGTTCTTGCTGTTGCGCGCAATAGATCAAAAAAAAATCTCAGCTTTACTCGGCGAGCATAACACCTCGTGTATGTAAAGTATATATGTCCAAGCAAATTTAACGTTTAGCACAAAACGCACAAACAGAAACGAAATGACTACTTTATTTGTTTTTTGTTTTTGCATGTGCTTACGTCATTTGTTTGAGTTCGCATTACATCTAGGCGGATAAAAAAACGCTATTGCTACCAATCACTTTATTCCGAATGTAAAAAACATTTTGAGGGAAAATCTATGGTAATGCTTGCAGTATAAATATTGTACGATATGTAAGCGCCAACTTCAGCCGCCGTGTAATATTACTCGAGCGATTTGAATGAATATTTATAAGTGATATGCACAAACGACTGCGAGTAATTCCCTTCACTGCATTATCAATATTGGCCCGAGGTCGGTAGTTCCAACGACAAGTCCTGGAGAACTATTAATGTTTAACTGACCACTTTGGGCATGAGATTAATGTCGAGTTTGGCATTGCATTAGAGTGTTTGTCGAATAATTCATTAACACGGCCGTACTCGTTTTCTGAAATTCTCTTTGGGGCTAATCATACGATAATAATCTTTATGTACAATTTTTTGTCATTATAAAAAAAAAACCATAGTTTTATCTGATTTCGATTAAGAAACGCAATTATTTAACCTGAAAAACCCGCGCCTAACGTCCTTCAAATTAATTAATTAATGCAAATTAATAAGACTTTTGTATGAAAGTAAAACTTTGAAATTTAATTAATCTAGGTTGTAATTTAGGATTGACGGATAACTGGTTGTACTCGTGTTTCCTGTATAGCTAAAATTGAGCACGTGATTTTTATCATATTATTATTTACACAAGCAACTAATAATTTCAAACGTATTGACGAATCTGTTTTTTTGTGTAGAACTTATTCCGTATGAAAATTGGTTAAGCCCATTTCGCAATACTTAATATATACAAAATGCCATCACAAACACAACAAAGTATCGAATCGCTGATCAGAGTTGCAAAACCTATTAACGTTCATAGAACACGGCTACAGTAAAAATAATAAACTGTACTAAAGTATTTAAAAAAATAATGTACAAATAAACAACAGTCGTCAACTCATCGACATTAATTAACAATTGCTTGGATATTTCTCAGTAAATACCAGATACGCGTGTAATTAAACCACGTGCAACCATTTTAGGATCGTTCCGTAAAAATTTAACGATTTCCATTGTATTTAATTTTTTTACGTCACATTTTCTACTATTATACAAGATAATAATCTTGTAATTATTATCTTAACCGTCGACGAATAGGTGTAAATTACAATAATGATAGTAATATTACTAGTATAATAAATTCTATTGTGCAAATCACTTGTACTAAAAAATATTCAAAGAAACAAGCCAAACATTTACTACACTCCACAATTATTACCATTTGTCCTTCACCTGAAATTAAGTTTCAGTAAAAAATCGTCTAAACAGTTCTAATAAAACGTTTTAATGTATATAAACGTGAGGTATACTATTTTTTATACAACATTAATCATAAAATACAAATATGAAATTTTATAATGATAATATAATACCTGTATTTACATACCGTACAGAAGTTCAATAACATTTAAATTTTCATTAAGAATTACTAACGCCTAACATAGTTTTCAACGTCAATTTTTCGATCAAAAGTTAAATTTACCGTGTCAGTTAAGTTTTATTATGTATTTGACTTATCAAAAACTAAAGTCGAAATTATTAATTTCTATAAATTTAAATTTAAATTGCAAATTATAACAAAATTTAAATGAGATAAAAACAAGCTGGTGTGCGTTTTTTGTAGTTTTAGATTAACATTTTTAATAAATACCAAGATTAATTCTAGTAAATGTTATAATATATTATTAAAAAAAAATATTTGTGTGTCTTAAAGTTGAAATTTATAGTAGTTTGAAAAACCAGAAACCATGTTTGCTATTGTCTTTGCCCTTACTTCGAAAAATATGATTCTAAAGAATATCCAGATCAGGTTTCTAGTTCAGCTAATATATTTCCATAATTCAGAAATATTTGAAGTATACACACACATTTGAATGTAACCAGAACTTTTTTATTTTAATTATGTATGTTATGTAACATGACTGTTTAGGTCGATGAAATTATAGAAGCCATCGATTCTGATCTCAGAGAAATTTTGAAAGGTATTCGAGTAGTGGACGAAAGGTGTTACATGACTTTTGGAACGGCTCGCTGTATGGAAAGAGCTCTACACACTACACTAAATATAAGAGGTGTACCTGTATTGTTAATGGACACCGGTGCGGGTGCCACCATGTTATGTCTTTCCGGAGTACCCGATACTGTGTCTGATAAAGAAGTCCTAAAAAGTCTAAAAAAATACGGCACCGTAATTGGTAAGCTTTATAAAAAAAAAAACTTTTATTTACTTAACAAACAAGGAACAAACGTACGTAAAAAAAAATCTTCTATAAAATTTAGTACATGCCCTATTTTTATTTTAAATCGTACCTAAACGCTGTACAAAATAATTCCATCGATTGTTATTGGAATAACAAACTATAAGCTCGTTAGAAATCGAATAATTTAATGATGTCACTGTCATTGAGAATTAATAAATTAATTCAATGGAAACAGTAAATTATAATTTACCAATGTTTTTCTCGGCGAGTAATTTTTTTATAGAATAACTTAATAAGAATCCCAGTAAAGAAACTCTTAAGAGGTGTATTATTGCAGGGGGTGTAGAGAGGAAAACCTGTCGAGGGCTGACCGGAAGCGAACGTTATGTGCGAGTGCGATTGATCTTAGGTTCTCCACGGTACTTGTGGTTTGGATCGAATAAAGCCATCGTTAGACAGCTTACTGAACACGAGACGGGAACGATGAATAGCATAGCTCGAAGAAAGTCATTCAGGTCTCATATTAAACTGAACCTGAAAATGGCAGATCCATCATCGTTATCCAGTAGTACTCCAATAACAGACGAAGTAGGCAAAGAAAACGGAACGCCAACGTTTACAACATTACAAAGTGCGCCGTCCACTCAACAAGCCACAGCTTTCAGGTAAGCGTAATAATATAATTTAACATAAAAGTCTGATTATCTTACAGACAGATAGTAGGACTGAAAGGATTTTCGTGATTATTATACTTTTATATTTATTATTATACAGGTTTCCATCAGATCAGAAAGTTAACTCGGCTGAACCTAGATCAATATCAAGATCTAGTATCAAGTCGACGACCGGGGCCTCTAAAAAACTGTCTGTGGGTCAAGAGTCACCGATTAAAGGACGACGAAGGCCATCTCTTTTAGGCTTTCGGAGAGATACGTTGAAGTATCGGGGAAGCTCATTGTCCAGAGGTGACGGAGAAGACGCTGAAAGCGATACAAGCACAATTTGTCGGAGGAAATTGAGCATAACTGGAAGAGAAAATACGGAAAAAGTACCCTGGTGCGGATGTTGGGGAAACGGATGTATATAACAACTTTATTGGCCATATGTCCTCTTTATATCTTCCTTTTTCTTCTTCTGAACCTCTATAAATAATATGTTTTTACTTTCGTGTTGTGTAAATGTCTTCTTTTTGTTACAGAAATATAAATTGGCAATGTATTTTAAAAATAACATAATTATTTCAACAAAAAAATGTTCATTCATAATTATTTATATCTCAATATTGTTGTCAGAAAGCTACACAAATTATTTTCTATTTTCTAAATTAGTAAAAATTTAAGATATAGATGTATATATAATATGTATAGAAGATATATAGAGATGGGTATAATTTTAGTCTTATACAGTAAGCTACTCCTTTGTTTAATTTAATAATTTTATGTTTAAAAAGATAAGATTGTAGCGTAACTATAGTGATACAAAATTGTTCATGTTAAATATAATTTAAGATGCAATCTGTTTTATATTAAAATCGAAAACTCTGTGCCAAATATCTTATTGGTTCAACCATTTCCAAATATTTGTTATAAATGTTTTATTTAGTATTAATGTTGTTCTAATGTATGTAATTAATATATTAATCATTTTTTTAGCAATCAACTTATTTTTTGCTAGATTTATAAACTTGTTAATATTAATATACATAATCGTATAGTAACAGATATCGTTACGATAAAGTCATTTTTAGCTTCGATGCGAAGCTGAGAAGGTATTTAACTTTAAAATGCTATAACTTTTTGAAAAATATGTAGATCATTATAATTTTTTTAAGATAAGTACTATTTATATTCTTCTTTTATGCGACATACTTTTTTTTTAAATTGATCCATTTCCCTTAATACAGGGGTAGTTCAAATCTTAAAAATGCATATAGAAAGTAAAACTTTATCAACTTAATTTTTGGAAGTGTTCCGAAAATACTGACACTTTTATATAAATCTTAAATTAAAGCTTATGTAATATACTTTATTATGGAAATAAAAAATTTTAGATTTTATTTTGTTTTCACGGTAAAAATGGCTACCGAATGTTATTTTCATGTGAAAATTCTCGATTTTATATTTTACATTTTTAACTTTATAATGCTATAACTTATTAAAAGCATATGGATCAATACAATTTTTTTATGAGAAATAATATTTATATACCTCTTTCATTCGGCATATTTTTTTTAAATAACACCATTTCCCTTTATATATTTATATATTATAAATATATATATATATTTATTCATATATTATACTTATAAATCATAAAGCTTGTAATCAGGATATAAATAAGAAAATAGAAGATAATGTAGCTTTTGAAATAATCCACCAAATTTTAAAAATTAAACACTATCTACAGATTGGCGTCGAAGCGTTTTTTATGATTTTAATCACTGTCAGATATCATTATACTTGACCCAACTATGCCAAGTCACCAATGTAATGCTACCTCCGTGCTGGATTTTTTTTTCACTTAAACTTTCCGAATTTTCGTGAATAAAGTACATGTATCTATTGAAAACAATGACTAAAAGTTCAAAAGTACATACACTTTATTTGCACNTCTATTGAAAACAATGACTAAAAGTTCAAAAGTACATATACTTTATTTGCAGGTTGAATATGAAATGTTAAACAATGTGTTCTTCTTTTTGTTTAATATTGAAACAGGTATTCAAGTGAACGTGAGTGTTGACTATTATCACTGGGTAAGTAAGTTCACGTTTAATACATACAAAATCGACCGTGTTTTATACTTTAAACTAAGTGTGTACCGAAAATATTATATCCACGCACCACATTCGAAACATCACGAGGAGTAGATTCATCAAAAGGCAAATAAACGCCAAGGGAAAAACTTTTAAAAAGAAAAAAACTTAAGCGTACAATGCATGATGACTTACGTGCTTGTTATACAATGTTTTGTCGGAGTGACTCCTTTGATGTGTAAAAATAAACTTCAATGATTCCCCACGCTTTTTGTGTTATTGAAATGTCACGGAGCAATGGGAGCACCGTCTTAGTTCTTTTGTTGGTGTATACATATATACCGGTGATCTTCGAGTCAAAATATTGCAGACAACCGGCAGCATCTTTTTAAACATTTTCCTCGCGTCACTACCACCTTGTGATACTTTACTACCATAACAGTTCTCTTATAACATACACTTTCATGCAGTGATTTCCAATAAAACAGACCTCAACATCAATATATCTTATAAGTCGAACGTGCCATTCGAATTTTGGACGATTAATTGTTTATCTGTATTGTTATTCAAGACAAAAATAAAGTAAATAATTGATTGTGGCTAGTGATGTAAAATTAACACTATGATCTTTTTCGAGAATATTCTTAAAATACGAAAATATCTCTTTTAATTTGTCATTATATTTTATTACAAAGTGGTATTGAATTTGGCAACAACAAGAATAAAATTAGTCACTTCCAAAATTATCTATTTAACTTCAAATAATTCGATCAAACAAAGTTTGAGATATAGTCTGCTTAAAATAAAACTTATCCAATTGCCCAATATTATATTTTCGAGTTTATAAACGCTTGAGAGTTATATTTAAAAGTAATTAAACTTATACTTGACGGTCCAATAGAGCCCATTTTCGATAATTATATAGAATATTATATTTTCGTGGCTGGGAATTTGCATCTAAGGTTAGCCTAGCTAAGCTTGAATAAGGACTAATACTAACTACCTTATACATATATATATATAAGGTATGTATTATAATAAAACATTTTTTCAGATAGATTTACTTTTAGTCATTGAACAACAATTAAAACATTATGAAGTCATAGAAATGCAAAAAAATAAATGGTCAAAATTTTTAAGTGTTCATTTATAATAATCATATTATTAGACATTAAAATAGACAATAATATCAATAAAATTTTAACTTAAAATAAAATATAATCCTTTGCTAGTGTTGTAAAAAGTCAATAAAAATGTGTAAAATCGTCATCATCTGTTCAATTATCTTAACTGTTTTGACCAAAGTATAAACTNTTCAATTATCTTAACTGTTTTGACCATAGTATAAACTAAAATTCTAACTAAAGAAATATAATTATTTTTGTTCTTTGCTCTATCATTTGAAATAAATAGCTTTAATGTGTTTGTAGTTATTTGCTGCCGAAAAGAAAAAAGTTTAGCGAACTTTGATTCACAAATAATTTGTCCAAATCCCTTATGAACTATTGGCCCGTCGTAAACACAAACTTGTCTTAATCGAAATTTTAAATTCGATATTCTTTTACTTTTTTTAAATCGTTGGCAACAAAAAAATATTTTAATAAAGCTGATTTTAAGCTGCTATGACTAAATACACAATAATTTAAAAATAACAAAAAATTTTTTAATTTATTTCACAATACAAAATAAATTTACAAAAATACTTTTGTATCATTCTTTGCTATAATTTTTTTANAATACTTTTGTATCATTCTTTGCTATAATTCTTTTTTTTTTACGAAATACAAAAATTTTAATAATTAGTGAAAACCGAATATTCATACAAGTAGACATTTCTAACTATTTATTAAATACAGACATTTATCAGATATTTGACTAATAGACGCGTAGTTGAAAACTGACTTAATAGTATACAAAAGTAAAGTTTACAGATATAAATATTTCCACTGTTGCTATTTATACATTTTTTGATGAATTTTCGTTTTCATTAGTAAATTATGAATTATAATGATATATTTATATAATTTCATTTATATAAATTTTACAAGTAGTAAAATTTTTAATCAGTAAAATAAAATAATTCTGTGATATCGTCCTTATACTAAATGAAAAACGAATAATTAAATTTAAATAAATAATAAAATAATGACTTGAATAAATTTAACACCTACACCTTCTGTTTTTTACAAATATTAATACTTATGTTTAAATTAAAAATTAAACAATGAAATAATTGAAGCATAGATATTACTAAGTTTAAACTAAAACCATTAATTAACTACACAAAATTTGTGATTTTATAAAACCACATTTTTATCGAGATCTCGAATAATTTGATTGGTTATCATAGAGTAATTAATTAACTAATTTATTAATTAACACTTAATTGACATTGTCAACTACTGACAAATACTTATAATTTTTCTTTTAAAATTGTCAAAAAAAAATAAATATATTCATTCAAAATTAATCAAGGGCGAAATAACACGTTGTCTTTTATTTATTTGGATAATAATAATTGTTTTGGTGGCAAAATTACTTTTAACAATTAAAAGTCAACATAGAATTTACAACACACCTACAGTAAACGGTAACTATATAAACACCTTTTACTGTATTAAATTGTATTTTTTTTTATTAATACATCCATTGAATAATTAAGAGTATACTGTGCAAGTACATAGTTTATATCATCAGATCTTATTATTAGCATTATATTGCCTTTGTGACTCAACAGTATAATTCAAACAATCATGTAGTTAGTTTCATATTCGAGTGGGTTTTAAAAGAATGATATTCTAGTGAGTTGAAAACGGTCCAATCTCTAAAATCTTATAACTCATGAACATTATTAATTGATAATTTAAAAAATCTAAATTATTTCTAATATATATTTTTCTGTAGTGTGGTAGATATTATGATGCAAATGAGTAACACAATCATAATAAGAATATTATTCCTATTATACAGTACTTAATCTTAATGCTCGTGTCATCCAGATAGCAAAAATAGTATTTTAGTAATAATGGTAGTAAGACGAATTATTATGCTCACACACGTCGACGATTGACCTAGTTTTTTATTGGTAAAAAATATTATCAAAACGAACACTTGTACAAGTTTTTCGTTTAAACGGAAAAATCAAACGATTAATGTCTACCAATGTGGAAATTCAAAATAACACAAAAAGTTTAAGATATGCACAGAACTTACAGTACCTCATGAGTTCTACTCACGATTATTAGCGCTTTTAATAGGAAAACTTCTTGATAACAAAAACTAGGTCACGAAACTTGGTGCGGAGAATAATCAAAGCAAAATTTTGACCTTGATAGTGTACTACTACAAAAGTGAAAGGATATTATTTCTATAGTTAATGTTGTGTACAAGGCAAATAGAAGAAATATAAAAAACTAATAAAAATGTCAAATATAATCTAGAACAGTAATTGTTTTGATCGCATATTGATACTGAAAGAAAACACAAATGACATAGTTATCATTCTGTTTCTAGTAATTATTTCTTGTGGTTTATCAGAATCATGTAAACATAAGAAATAATCTGGGCCTTGTGTCCTTCCATAACATGAATTTAATAGTTACGTTAATTTTATAAAAAAAAAAATAGTTGGGAAATATTTAATATCTATAATAAAGATCGAAATATAAACACAGTATTTATGTTTTAGAATAATATAGGACTTCACACTAAATTTGAAAATTTGTAATTAACCATATGATTAACAAAATTTAAGAAAAAAAATACATGAAGTACTATCTAAAATCTAGTCATAAGGACATAAAAATATGAATTCTTAAAAATCATCCCGAATACCAATTAATGAACTTAACACGGTATTTTATTTCATTTTTTGATTTAAAAAGAATGCTATTTAACATTTCAAGTAATATCTCAACAAAAACTAAATTAAAAATATAGTTAAGACAGAAACCAAAAATATTAATTGAAAGAATACAGAAATCGTCATGTGTAATAAAATTAAACGTAAGTATATATTTACATCAAAAATAGATAATACAAACACAAAACACTTAATAACATGGTATTTATTATTATATTTTATGTAATAATAATAATAATGAATCATTAACTTAAATCTTAAGATTTTACGTTATTTATAATATATATATATTTGTATATATTTATATGAATACATATAAATATATAGTATATGGTACAAACGCAATGAATTTATTGAGGTAACAGGATTTTTATGTCTTAAAAATATATTTTTAAATAATTTTTCAAAAAAAAAAAAAACAAAAAAACAAGATACATTTTTATGAAACTGTTTTTGCTTGTTTTATATTAATTATTATACATATTTATAACTTTTTAGTTTTACAGCTATAATCTACACTAAAGACAAAAATAAAAATACAAAGCTTACGCACTAAGCAAGGTTAACATCAGAAAAGGCTGTACTAATGGTGTCAAATATAATAGTTATAATAATTAATAAAATAATAATAATGATATTATGATAATTATAATAATAGAATAAAAATAATTTTAATAATATAATAATGTAAATGGAGAACAAAAGAACCAACAGATATTTTAAAACGATAATAAAAACTTAAACATTTTATTCATTAAAAAAAAATATATTATATTTTAATATAGATTAATAAACATCATACTTTCAAAATATATTTTATAATGCGTTACATCATATTATATCATTTAAAAATATTCAATCACAATGTTTGATCACGAATTCATACGAAAACCCTGGACGCTTTATTTAAAATTATGATTAAACATCTTTTCCCAACTATATAATCACTAACAAATATAAGAGTAAAATATTGAAAATCATTCTGTTATATTTTAGTTGATCACTATAAAAATTTCACTTTAACATCATCCCATCTCTTAACTCTTTTTGTTACCATGTGTAAAAGCCCCAAAGCATGAATGGTATTAAGGAAGACATACAGGCCTATACAAAATATAACACATGGTAACCAAACAGATTCTCTGTAGAAAAAAAATAGAACTATTTAAGAGGGATGTAGGAATCTTATATGTGTGCGTACTTTCAAACAATTAACGAACAATACAGCAAGAAAATAAACAATGAGCAAGTACATAGTAAATATTACTTATAAAATTTTAAACGGTAACTCATAGTTTCATACAATCATTCTTGTTTATAAATTTCATTTTTTTTAATTACTATTTTTAAAATAAATATTTTCAAAGCTTAACATTATGAACCACAAAGGTATATAATATATGCACTAAATTCTAAAAATACACTCATAAATAAATAAATCTTTAAGCTTAAACATCTATTATATTTATGTTAAAATACAATAATAATTAAAATACAGGAGATAATTAAGGCGAACTCTAAAACTTGTCCATCACCTTCTACCAGGAGAAAAAAGTATAAAATATACAATAACTTTAGGTATTTTGTTTGTAGATTAAATTTAGAACAGACGGAATGTTTTTAATAAAATTTTTTACACAAAATCCAGAATTTGAAAAATACATTTTATGCCCAAATATCCCTGAAAACCAATACTAATAGCTAATGGGGAAAACAGTAAAATATTCAATAAATGTTTAGAAAAATATTTTTGTACTCTTGTTTTAGAGGCAATGGTTGTTTTAAACATTTAATAATTCATATTTAAAAAATATTTCTCAATTCTTCATATAAAAGTTATCTCTGAGGGAATAAAATACAAGAGTGCAGTTATTATAAATTATATGGTATACATTGTCCACTCTTACTATTTGGAGTATTCAAAATTGATTTTTATAATTAAAAATTAATTAATTACATGTTGAATACTAAAAATAGCTATCATTTTCACACTATCATGGTCTCTTTTAAAAAAATTGTTTTCCAAACTTCATAATCATTACAAGAAATTGAAAAATAAAAGAAAATAATTATAAATATATAAACTGCTCATGTCAAATGGAATCTTATACGTGTATTATTTATAACTGGAACAGTGTGTAGGAACTGATCGGCTATTAAAATAAATATATGTAGTAATAATATAATCATTTCAAATTGTTTAAACTTTGAGCACATCTCCGTTTACTGGCCTTTTGAGATTTGGTAACCAAACATTAAATACCTAACCTAATTTCTTAATATATAACTATATACATATAATATGTGTTTCGTACAATATACAAAAGTGTATGTATAGTATTTATACATTACAAACTTATTTTTTAAATATTATTATTGGTGGTTGTGCACGTATGCACTTATAAAATTTATTAGTCATCGGAAGGATTATTTGTCAATCATTTTAAAATTTCAAATAAAAATAAATAATAATAAAATTAATAATAAATAATATTTATGTGTGTATTTGTGTGTGAATATGTAAGTGTGTAAAAATGTATGTGTGGTGTGTGTGAGAGTAGTTTTGACCAACATCGCGTACGTATGTAATGACGCTGTCGACGAGATCAGTTGGTAACTCTGTAAAACTCAAATATATTGTAGTTGTCATGGTAACGAGACTGCCACTGGAAGCGGCTTCATCTTCGTTTTTCGCGATTTTGGGTATAAGTTGTGGCCACTCCTGAAAAATAAAAATAAAAATTACTATAAGCTCACAGATGTCATAATGACAAACATTATACACGAAGTTAAGTAATATTTGATGATTGAAAAAAAATTCCTAAGTAAGCAAGCAAGTATGTTAATCCATTTAAAAATCTAAGGTTACATTGGTTTTATCAAGAAAAACACATAATTGTGCTATGGTGTGAAGGTACGATCACGACTTAATGACACTTTCAGTTTTACAACATATTGAAAAAATATCTACGAACATATTACACACTGTGGCCTAATTAAACGGATGTTTATGATATCTGTTGAAAATTATGCGGTTGATGGTGTGCAATAAGCATTAACATTTGTACACACGCGGTGTTTTAATGATGCGAAATATCTAGACTGGTTTGCCTTGACATCAGTTAGGTTCGCAGATAGATGAAAAAATAAAAGAATAATACTATGATATGATGTGATGCGAGTAAAGTATCGGTTATTTTTTAAAAAAATAACGCGAGCGCAAAAACCAGTCGCCCGGCGGACAAGTCAAACGAGTTAAACTTGTTAAGCTTGCAGGGCTTATCCGCGCCAACCAAATCATCCACGTTAATAATCAATGAGTAATACAAAAGAAACTCGTCGTTACTTTAAACGGACAAAAAATATGCTTATTTAGTTAGGTTATTTTCTTCAAAATACTATGTCCTTACGTATGAACTTGTATACGAAGCACGGGTCCCTTCCATAAAATTTTTGGTGGGTGTTCATCGATGACAATGCGTGTGGTATTTTATTTTCGCTTAGCGTGCAGCATCTCCATGAGCAACGTTTGCGTTGGAGCGCCTCCGCTACAGTGTTTCATGTACAGACTCTCTTCGCCCCTGGTGGCTATGTGATGGATATCTGGTAAGACGGACAAAAGTTTGGTGAATTTGTCCTAAAAAACATTGAAAAAAGATACACCGTTAGAAGAAAAACTGACGTCTAAGAACCACCACTTTGTTGAATATATTACCTGCACTTGAGAATTCGCTGTGATGCAGTAGTCCAGCAGGGCCTTAAGCACTTGTTCGTGACCTTCTTGGACGTGTTTACTGTTGCCGATCCCTTTGACGTCTAAACGAGAAAAAGAAAACAAAAAATAGGGGGCGGTTAGTAAGCAATAGTGCGGTTACATCGGTTTGTGCCGTCACCAAAGAGCCACCGCGCACAATATTACAATTACCGGGGTTCAAAAGTAACAGGAACTTTAAGCAAATGTAGTCGCCAACGTCGAACTTGAGCTCCTGGAGTCGTTCGACGACCCGGGCGAAACAATCGGCCATTGTGGTCACTCCCAAGAGGCCCAGGGCGAGCAAGTCGAACTTTTGTCCGTTGTGCAACATGATCTCGTTGGCCAGGTTGTTGTGCATGTGCTGGTGGATGTGGTCTAACACCAACATATCCGACCACGAATGCTGCAACAACTTCATTTGATCGTCCACCTGAAACACCAAACATGACAACGTTAGCAATCGATAGTTTTCAGAAACATTAAACCGACCAGGTTTGTCAAAGAGCGACAGTTTAATCATAAAGCGACGACGTTCAATACTTAATGAAGCTCGATTATAATAATGGTAAAATAATTACATCGCACGGAGGTTAGGTCGGCTTCCATACGCCAGTGTTCTATTCTCGATTGGTATATAGTATCGTGTACAAAAAACAAGGTATAGTTGCATAATGGCCGATTGTAATAATATTTCCAATTGCTTTACTATTATTGTACACACACGGAGCGCATGCACACGCCTATCCGTACAGCAGATAGATAATGTACCTCCACCACACAAAAAAACGACGACGATAGTGTTCTCACCGCATCACAGACTTCCATTTACGCATAACGAATTGCTATACAAGACCTTGAAAAGTGAAAGAAGAGTCGACGCGGCGACATCATTCGACGTAACACGTAGGTAATACTACTGTTAACGTTCTGATATTAACTCATTTTTTTTCTCTTGGTTATTTTTTTATACAAACGCTTCAAACAGGACGGACTTTTCGTGAGAGACTAGCGGAAAGATTTTCTCGGTCTGTAATCGTATACGGTTTTCCGCTTTCACCGTCGGAGGAAACAATGAAAACTCGTCCTCGAGTCCAAGGCCAATGTCGATTTCACTATGACAAAAAAACCAGTTGGAAGACGGGAATACTCTAACCTAAGAAATGCCGATTCGATTCTTGATGATATTTATCATGAATACCGATCGATGAACCAATAAACGTTAATAATAATATGATATTAATACACAAAGAATACTATGTCGAATAAACTATAAGGGCAGCACTTGATTGGAAACGCTCCAAAAGCCTAAAAAAAACTATGAAGAACGTATCGAGGAGAGTGGGCGAAGATCACCTACACGAAAAGGGGAACATAATTTAATAAATAATCTATTCGGTAGTCGGAGAATTCATATATTTTATTAACTGGAGCCGGCTACATTCATAGCGAACACATGGTGTGAGAAGTCAAATTCACAAATAATATTGTGCGTTCCCTTCTTCGACCGTGTACGAAAATAGTGATACTTTAATCCATAGCGCTTATTTAATTTGCATAAAATAGCACCGGCAAGAAAAACGCGTTACTTAGACAGTAAGAGTACGTTGGAACATCATTCAGAAGCGAAAATCAAGTTTTTAAACATGATAAATTACAAATCATGTACGTCGATACATTTATTTTTTTTTTAACAATAATATCCCAGCCCAGGTGACACGTACTAAACAAAAAATACACATATTAGTAATCGTTGGTGTACACATGAGAAGAAATTAAGAAGTCGATGCCCAGCGATGTTTGTGTTTGCCAGCGTTTTTTTTTTTTCATTGTAATACTTCCGCGTATACAATTTGTTTTTTTGTTGTTAGAAATAAAATTTCAAGGTGACAAATATTAATGATTTGAACGTCGGGGTTCATTGTAGCCGGGAATTAATTTCGTTATTATTATTTTGATAAAACTTCATTATGCACGTAAACGGACTTGGTTGACCGGTCAACACACACAATGAACCCGCAAAAAGTTGAGCAATCGTCCGTCCATTAATTATCTGTCCGCTTTTTTTACTTTTGGCAACATTAATAAATAGGTTAACGGGCTAAAGCTACAATTTATCTTGTTAGACGTACTGCGGCGGCGTTGTTAATATTGTTACAAATATCATTCGTTAAGAATCGACGGAAAACGACGCTAAGAAGCTCACCCGACACAAATCGGTTTAACTTCGAAATCGAACCGCTCACAGTAATAATAATGACGACAAATATAAACGTGTAACCGCAGTGTATACGAGGCGTATGTTGGCGAAAATTTCTGAATTTAAAAAAAGAACGAAGACAGCAAATAGTCGGTACGGTTAAAACGAAGGCAAAGGGATAGACGTTTAAATTAGAAATTGGGACAACGCCGTCAGAGGGGTGGGCTGGCATACGGCGATTGTACCCCCACGTATCTCCAACTACTACACTGCCCCACCCATCACTTTGACGTAGGCCAAGACTATACCTTCATGAAAAACCATCGATCGCCGGCTCGACCATGACCTACCATAAGCAAATTAACCTAGTTTCAGACCCCTGTTGCCCACCCCGTCCGAGTTTGACACACGCACGATCCCTTGCGACTGAAAAATTCAACGAGAAAATTATTTCTGTGTTTGTCGACACAGTCGTTTTTATCGCTACCCCGAAAACTATTTAAGGCAACCGCCACCGTTGGGAGTTTGGAATTGGGACACGACACCACCGGCTCGTGCTTGTAAAAAAAGCCTTTCATATTTTCAGTGTATCCGAACAAAGTACAGCACGAATACAACAATAAACGTGCCCTACACGATATTTAGAAAATGTTATTGCAACGTTCAAAGACAAACGACCTCGTTGTTTTTTTAACTTTTGTAACACTACGCCAGTGTGTTTGGTAAACACATATATATTGGTTAAAACAAACACAAACGTGGTTGAAAAACAAGCCGTTTGTGTTTAGAGTTTTAGGTCGTTTCCCGCCGTTGCGTTTCGGTTATAATTTGAAGTTACAATCAAAATATAAATAAATAAACGGCTATGGTGCAAACTTTTCACTGCCGGTGAACATACGGTCAAATACTAATGGGAATTGCCCTTTGTTGTCTCCGGCATCACACACAGTTTCCGGTCCGCGTTTATATAATCATTTATATACATACATATATAAATGTATTTGTACGAATTGCGAGAGTTTATCGTCAACGTTTCTCCTCGACCCTCCGTCTCTTCCCTTCCCCTTTAAATTCTTACAGTAGCACGCGAATGAAATGTTCTGCGAATGGTGGACACATAAAATTTCTTCTACCTGTCGTCACTAAAAAAATCGCCATTTATAGTTGGAGAGATAAAGATTATTATATTCGTGACAATTGAGAGTTTTTCCGTTTTATGATATTTTAGTCACACAGGCGACAGTTATGCAACTCAAACTTTCAAGAATCATTCTTTAATCCGTCGAATGTTGTCTCCCACCCAAAATCTCTAAATTATTTTTTTTCAACTATGCAACACTTTAGTACAATTCCAATATTAATATTAAACTTAATTTTACAATAAATATTAAATAAAATCAGTTCCCAAAATAAAATTGAACGAAAATGTTCGATAAATAAAAAAAGCTCATAAACTATGGTCCCTTGGCAGTGATATCGAATTGACCTAAAAACAAACTGTTTGCCATCTTTCAATGGAGCTATAAAAGAATAGTGTTACTCAAGATGGCCGTTTTATGATAAATAATATATTAAATAAACAAATAAAATAATATACGAAAAGCTAGAAACTGTGAAAAAGAGGGGAAGCAATGATACATCATCCGTGCGTTTTATATTGGCTGGAGAACCGGCAACGTTGGACACGACGACAACAGTGGTGAAGGTGAAGACGTGAAGGGGTACACCGGCCCGCACGCTGCCGCGACACAGGCCGTCCCCCTAAATCGGGCCCCTGCACTACACGATATGGTGTGGCGCGGCCGGTGCCGGCGTCATCGCTACCGGCCTCACATTGCGACTTCTCACTCGCCACTCTTTTAACTCAACGGGCGCCAACCGGGTGGTCAAAAACGATATATTTAAAATGATAATGAAAATTCTATAAAATAAGAACCGTCGCGTGGATATTGGTGGTGGAGATAGCCGAATGTAAATGAACGGTGGTCTCGTAAAATAATACCCCTCCCTTGATTGGAACGTACCAAAGATTATATTTAACGAGTTGAGCAATAGTTCTGTGCAGAAAACTTTTAGGACAATTATTGTTATTATTCTTTTTATAATTAAAAAAACGTAAAGCCAGAGTGCGCAATAGGCGACACATTGTTCTCGTTCACAATCAGTTTCAGTAGTTGAATTTCTGAACAGGCGGTGCTTTACGGCTGTGTTGCGCAAAAAATGCATAAACGATGGCGGACAAAAGTGCGAGTGTGTGTGTGTGTGTAATTATTATTTGCTATACAACTACTACACAAACTATTTAAGTGCGCGCGCGTTTAGACGATGAACTTGGCCTCATTTTAAACGTCCCCTACTCGCGCCTACCTATGCGTACTACGAATGGACTGCGGAGGCGGCAACCGCAGAGAAAATGGACTGTCGCTGCCAGCGGGTCGTGTTTAATACAAAGCATCCACATAATAACACCGACGGCGAAAATAATGATTTCCTAAAATTATAACGCCCCCAATAGAGCCTGTGTCAATTTACCTTCAGATCTTTGAAGAATACTGAATTCCTCGCCCAATCCACTTGGGAGAAAAGATTTTGATCGAGTACCTTACACATGAGTTCGAACAAGTCCACTTCACACTGGTTGTAAGTTTGACTTTGTAGAAGACCGAATAACGAGCTTTGCCACTCCCGGTCGTCCAGGCCTTGTACGAATTCCCGGATGACGGGCGACATGCCTTTGTGGCCGCCAGTCTGTCCACCGGCAGCGGTTGCACCGGTCGGCGTGGTGGCCGACGAACTACCGCCGTTGTCCATGACGTGGTGTTGTTGTTGCTGTGCCTGCTGTTGATGGGTAGTAGCGGCTAGCAGGTAATTTTTGGGCGAAGTTGGCGGTGACCACATTTTGTTGACCGATATGAGCGATCCGGGAGCCCCGGCACCCTGCGGTTGCGACTGCTGTTGCGCCTGCTGCTGATGATGTTGATGTTGCTGCGGTTGTCCGGTTGCTGCGTTCATATTACTGACCGAATTATTATTGTTACTACTATTGTTGTTGTTGTTGTTGTTGTTGTTATTGCCATTAGCCGAAGCGACGATTTGCAGCGTCATCTGTGAATGTTGATTGACAGCGCACGTCGTTGCGGCTGCAACTGCCAGAGATCCAAGCCCAGCTTGCCCCAGCGCTACTGCGATGGGACTTGGCGATGAATCGGGCGACGACGTCAACGAAGACACCTGTACACGAAGAGAACAAAAAGTGTTATGAAGGAGTAAGCACCGGTGAATGAAAACGATAAATGTTTACCTGGGGTATTTGGATTTCCTGTTTGATGTGTAAATTTGATCCGGTGGACGTTATCGTCGATCCCGGATATTGGCCCAGCGTAACGGCGTCCCCAGCTGCCAACATAGCGAATTGATGGTGATTATTGGCTGCAGCCGAAGTAACAACTCCGCCGCGAATAGTTTGGACGGCCATTTGTCGTTGCCGCATCATTTGTAGTTTTCTCGCCCTGTCCCGTTTGTACATGGGACCAAATTTGTTTCTGCCACCTCGCATCCTATCGGCACGGACAGCTGTAAAAAAAAAAAAAATAATTATTTATTATTAACATCTTTATGAAGCCTTAAAATATACAAAGCTAATCAATCGACGATAACAGAGAGCGAGTATGGTTTCACAGGCCGTTCAACGATTTAAATACGTTTGTTCAAAATACACGCGAAAACGCGCCACAAGAATGCGACGTTCAATATTAAAAAATCGTTTAAATTGTCGTTGAATAGAATAATACGTTTTGATGTGTTCGCATACAATAATTTGAATAGATACTAATGCTTGTACATTTTAATTGTTGAAAGGTTCCCGAGGGGGCCGCCGTTCGTTCGGCACAGACATTTGGACAGGAAATCATTTCGAGAAAGGACGGTGAATAAATTACAAAAAATATATTTAATTATTTTACTACCTAGTAGACATGCACCGCAGACAAATTTTAATAGAGCGTCTTAATCAGCATGAGTATTATCGTACCGAGCAATCAAATAATATTATACACCAACATTAGTACGTTACATTAAATGTGTATGTATTTATACCGTGTAGACTTCAATACATGTAAAAATATATTTATACCAACAATAGTTCTTCTCATCGCATAGGTCCCCACCCGCTTCTATGCGCATAATGAACAGCAATTACGATTTAAAAAAAACATCATTATTAAAGTCATAACTAAACCGAAGCGAGATTCGAAAAGCTAACGAGATACGTGTACACAAAAATATACCAACAGAGCTGAAGTCAGACTTCTAAACACAATTGCAAAGTCATCGCTGTACCAACTCGGGTATGTGTATGGGTTTGTTTATAACACAATATTTTTATAAAATAACAACAAAAACCAAATAATATTTGTTCGTTTTTCTTCCTAAATATTTCTAATAATGAATAAACAAATATTGCGTATACGTCATACAACACAATGAAAATCGTTCTATTTGATGGAGACTCGTGAACGTAATTACGGAATCTCAATATTCACATAGACCGTGTGAGCTCGTGCGAAAAACGCCAAAGTTCGGTCTACGTTGTCATTAAAATAATAACATACCAGTTAAACAAGAGTCGTTATCAAATAAACAAATATAAAAACGTATTTTTGCGAATTATCTTCTTAATAATACGTTCTAACTATTAACCGCCACGCAAACCGGTTGTAAATATTTCCAGTGGCGTTGGCAAATGTGACGCATGTCAGTTAAAAATTCGAAGATTCTCATTGCGAATACATATGTGTGCATATCAACAGAACGATATTCGAAAGCACGTTCAACATTTAGCCGAGTGACGATGAGCTTTAAAGCACAATATTGTGCTACGTTGCGCAGCAGACGGATACACATATGACACCTCGCGAGTTTAGCGCAACAAGCGCGTGCGATAAATTTGTATGCTTATTACGTCACTGTACGCTGGTGGCAGTTGCGTAAAGGCACAAAATTATTACACGGACCGATTAACCAGCCGACGACCGATTCTGTAAATGTATGAAAACGTTTGTAAGCTATAAAATTCGACCATTTGGCGGCGGTTGTGTGTAAAACTTTCAGACGGAGTTACCCAACAGAAATCACGGAATTAATACGGGCATACTCGAATGAAAACATCATTATGGCGTAGTTTTGTTGTATAAAAAAAAAATTATTCGTTAGAATACGAAAAAGCCGACAAAACAAGTCGTGACGAGTCGTTAAGAATCCAAACAACAGACACAAAACGAAGGGAGAAGAGATCATACCAGTGACGTCAATATAAAAATAAATAATTTTTTTTCTAATACTATTATTTTCCCAACGAAATTTTTCACGCTCTATCAATAGATGTGCATAAGAATTAATTGTAAACTACACAATTCGGTCACGGTTGTGAAGTTAAAGATATACTAAAAATAAATTAAGCACTAAAATTATATCTTAGGTGTAAACCTAGGTATGCGGAATACCCAAATATGCGACAAACAGTAAACAACATGAATCATCATTGTCGTTAATCTTCGTTAGAAAACGAAATTTAGACGCAAGGGGCGTCGATTCGATCACTGCCGTCCATTGCGGCTACAGCGTTCCCCTGCAACGTGCACGCCGAGCCGATCTGATGGCGCGGTGGTGTGTGGCCTTGAGCGAACGCAATCACCGCCGATACGCCTTTTGTGCAATGAACGACGACGGACCAAAACGCGTATCACAATACATTTTGTACGTAAAGCGGAGCGGCAAGCGGTTGTAGTGTGCGCTGCGACGTTGCCAGTAATTATGGCGCTCGGAGACTTTAACGCTGCCCGGGAAAAACTCTTATCGAACCTGGCGCGCGGTGTGAATTTTTCGACCGTCAAGGAGAATCGAAGGACAGTGCTGCCAAGGGGAAGAGAGCAACGAGCACGGCTTGATAAAAATAAAAAAATCATAGTAAAGACATGACTTTCGATAAAATGACGCGATTGTGCAATTATTATTACGAGTCGACAACAGCGACCGAGTTGTAATATCATATACGGTCAAGGCCGCTTGCCTTGGCCCAGTCGGCGGTGGAAAAAAGTGAATGATAGAAAGAGCGAAGAAAGCACGTGCAGAGTTGTTCCGCTTTTACTTTTCTTTGGTTTTGCTCTGATCTAGGTCTGGTGAAGGTCGCCGTATTCGCATAATACTTTGATAACGGCATAACATGTAATCGACGGGAGAAATGCACATTTCTCCGACAAGTCGTTTTGCATACAATCGCGACCTGCGTAACACGATACTTCGGAGATTGTCTCATTAACAAGCCTCGCGCTCCATTACTCCACCGTAGTACTTCTTGCACACGACTAGACAGAAGATACTACAGTCTATAAGAACTACAAACGACACAGTCTACAGTAATCATAAAGAGAGTATGGCGGCATTGAATAGAATTATTCAAATCGTCATTTATATCGATNCTACAGTCTATAAGAACTACAAACGACACAGTCTACAGTAATCATAAAGAGAGTATGGCGGCATTGAATAGAATTATTCAAATTATTCAANCACGACTAGACAGAAGATACTACAGTCTATAAGAACTACAAACGACACAGTCTACAGTAATCATAAAGAGAGTATGGCGGCATTGAATAGAATTATTCAAATCGTCATTTATATCGATAAGTTGAGTGCGACTATTAAAAAACCAGTGTTATTAAACTGCGTACGCGGTAGTTAAATCTAAGCATTGGGTTTTTATCGTAGATATACAACAACAACGGGTATGAAACGACGGAAACACACAGATACGTAGTATCAATAATGAGACCGATGAATTACAATAATGTAATCATTGCTCACTCGATGTTTGAGTTTCCCACGATTATTGTTTAAGTAAACACACTACAAGACAAAAGCTCGTTTCCGTGCGCGATTTCACATAGCGCTCTGTTGATTCAATCGGAGGTGAGTTTTTGTGTTTAGCCATTACCTAAGCAGACGATAATGTGTGTAATTTGGAGAAATACTCGAGAGCGACACGCGATTTCTATTTAATGTACAAATGTTACATTTGTGTTTTCGCCGGAAACGTTGCGCACAAATTGTGCACTCGCCGCTATACACGTGCTCTATGAATATTTAAGGAAATTCTCTCGACGATTCATCACACCCGGAAGAGATATGCCCCTAACGCGAGTTGAAGGCCTTCCACAATGCTCCGAGAAGGAGGTAAATAACACTGCTAATAGGAAGTCGTTGTCGCCGAGATCACCTTGATCAGCCACACGCGGCGGCGGGTCCATGTAAACAACAACCCGGAATGGACACGACTATCTACGCTGCGTGTATAGGTGAAATACGCAAATACATCTGTTTCACTCTTCCTTTACTCCAACCGACTGTCGTCGGGTACGTTCCCCTCAAGCCGGCGGCCGCAATTGTCGTTTTAAATACGACCAACTCGCTCGGGGCCCGATAATTTTGAAATGCAACATAGAAAATATTAAGTTTCCATTTTTTTTTTTTCACACTTGACACTTGTCTGTTAATAACATTATGTATTATTATAATTATTGTTACTGTTTTTAATTATGTAGAATCTATTGTTGCGCCTACGTAAGCCCAAATAAACCCACAACACACATAAGGTGTTCGGCGATTGGCCTCACGGGTTAACCCCGAGGGGCACACATACATATCGAAAACTCTATGCCGACATAACTTTCTAAAAACTAATCTATATAAAATAATTATTATGACATTTTGTTGTTATTATTATTACTATTATACACTATGGGCCGAGTAATTCTCATTGTTTGGATCGAGACGGCTTCTATTATGTCCCCGTGATTAGGTACTGTTTTTACTATCTTATTGTTATTGTAAACTTAAGTAATGTGCGCGAGTGCCTTTGGTCCCGGCCGGCGGACGACCGGCACACGATTGGTCAGTCAGCTATAAGTTCACTTTACTTGTTTCGCAATGCACAGATAAAATATGTTAATTACACGAGTATATATATATATATACGTACAGCTAACACTTAGAAACTGTAATTTGTATACTAAAAATCGGAGTCGAAAGTGTCGTTTAAATACCTACGATATTGGACAGCACATGGCACTCGGGTAATTTGCTTAGTTACAACTATGCCATAACATACAGTACTTATTATTATTCGGACACACGAGAAAAGGCGGCGAACGTGTTAAAAACCAAATAACTCGCAGAGAAAATATTTTCTTTCTCGGTCACGTACTATTTGGGATTTCAATAATAATCGCATGTGTATATATTTTGTTTGGTAAAACTCAACCGCAGTTGTAAGCAGATACCAATAATAACCAAATGAGCTGCTGAACGTCGATGTAAAATAATGCGATTCCAATACAATCGTATTGCAAAACAATTAATATTCACGGTTTTCTCTTACCCGCCGAAGTCATTAATATTCCTGAAAATCAAAACTTATGGTCTCGGCTGCGAGTGCGAAACTGTAACATAAAAAAAGTCGGCTGATGCAGTGCCGCATAATAATCCGATATCTATTAAACGGAGTTGTATTAATA